CAGGCCAATCTAAAGAGCCCAGTTAGCATCCACTCCCACAGTTCGCCAGAAAAAGAGGAAAAACACTCACCAAAAATAGACCTGCTAGTTCCTTTCTCAGCAACCGCAATCTCATCCCCAACCCTCAGACTATTCCCCTCGCCCTTCGGCTCCAAGAAAGCATACCTACCAAAGACAGGACTAAATTTTGCCCCAGAATCCACCCTGCGATCCTTCATCAACTTCTTAAGCACAGCACCAGACTCACCAGTCCCCATCTTCCCAGTCTCATAATCAACATTAAGGCTCTGACAGCGCACACAATTCCCCGTCAGCAAAAGCTTACTCGACTCATGCCCCAATCCATTGCCCACAGTCAGGGCGCCCCAAAAGTCCTCCTCGAAAGCCTCTCCAGCCCCTGAGACAACAACATTAGGCCGGAACTTCGTACGGTCCATCTTTTCTCCGTCCGGCAGCCGCGCTGAGACATTATCAACGGATGTCTCGGAGATAACGAGATAAGGCGCGCAGTCCGCAAAAGTAATGCGGTCTTCGTGCTGTGTGTATAGAGCGTAAAAGTAATATAGTACCGCCGCACTAGCAGTGAAAAGGAGCGTGGGCGTGAGAGTCCGAGCTGTTTGAGGAGTTATCCCATCGCGGACAATAGTACCGCCCTGAAGGAGTATGTTGATCGCGGATGCTACAATGAGAATCGGGAGAACCCGTTCCCATTTCCTGTCTGGATTGGTTAGACTTTCGCGTATTGTGTGCAGCGCGGTCTTTTTGTCTTTCTTCGCTGGCGCGAGTGTGCCAAGCACCTCTCTGGAGTTCGGTCCAAGGTAGGCTAGAACTACGGGATATCCGAAGCAGGCGCTGAACCAGTCATTGTACTCTGCGCCCATGTTGTATCCTGTTGTTGGGCTCTGGTGCATCATGACTTTGAGAGGGTTGAGGGTTTTTGGGTTGGGCTGGAGTGGGATTTCTAGTCGGCTGGTTTCGCGCGGTTTGGAAGCTGACCCCAACGGAGGAGGGTGGTGTGTGATAATCAATTTTCCGCTGTCCTTCTCTGTCTGCGGATACTCGATGTCGGTGTGGAAGAGGGCCATCTCTGGGAAGTGCGGGACATGCATGTTCTTCAGGGTCGTGGTGCCGGAGCCATCCTCGGCTGGGATGACTTTAAGGAGCATGAAGTGGCGATCATATTGAAAGCCGCGTGTGGTCAGAATTCCCTCTGTGATTGTTGTTGGTCGAAGGGATTTAATCGGGTAGACATAAAGCTGAGAGTTGGTCAGCATGCCGTTTCCTGTCTTCGTCGTAATTCCGTGTTCTTACCTGGCTGACTTTCATGATTGTAAGTGGAAAGCTGTAGATGAACAGAAAGCAGTATATCTTATCTCGAAGGAGTATGAAAATTCGCTTTCAACAAGCCGATCTCGGGGAAAGACCTCGGGAAGATGATTACATCGTTCCCCGGTTCCGCCCCGGATTAGACTTTGCGGAGTAAGGTCCGCCTATCTAGTTACAACCTCTTAACATTTTTGATAGGCAAGATTATTTGTGAACTTATTCTCTAAATAAAATTTTTGTTTCTGGTCCTAAATATAAATAAAAGGTCTTCAATCATATTCGTTTCGAAATCATGCAAGGAAATATACAAAAGGGAATCAAAAAAAAAGAAAACGTCTACTGTTCCTCAGCCCATGGCAAGCTGAAGGTACCAACCCAATCCTCAACCTCTTGGCGGAGCACAACAATCTCCGAGATCTCCTCACCCTCACCCACGTACTCCAAGAAGGCCTTGACAGTATTCGGGTTCTTGACACTGCGGGACTGAGCCGACTCACGGGCAGCCTTGTCCAGCTTCTGGGTGATGGTTACTGCACGATCGACAATATCAGCGACGCGGGTGAAGTCCTCAGGCTGGAAGCCACGGGAGGTCATGGCTGGGGTTCCCAGGCGCAGACCGCCAGGCTTGAGGGCGGACTTGTCACCGGGAACGGTGTTCTTGTTACTGGCAACACCGCACAGTTCGAGAACGCGCTCAACACGAGCACCGTCCACGCCGCGGTTCTTCAGGTCCACTAGCACCAGGTGGTTGTCGGTGCCACCGGACACAATGTTGTAGCCGAGTCCACCGTTGCTGGTGGAATCACCTAGGCGCGCAGCGAGGGCAGAAGAGTTGAGAAGCACTGTCTCCTGGTAAGCCTTGAAGTCGGGCGTCTGAGCCTGCTTAAGGGCCACGGCCAGCGCGGTGATAGTGTGGTTGTGGGGGCCACCCTGGTGGCCGGGGAAGACGGATGCGTTGATGGGATTTTCGAGATCGTACATAACCGAGTTGCCCTTCTTGTCAGTGCTGCGCACGCCCTTGCGGTAGAAGATCATGGCGCCACGCGGGCCACGCAGAGACTTGTGAGTGGTGGTGGTCACAACATCTGAGTAGGGGAAGGGAGAGGGGAGTACGTCGGCAGCCACAAGACCGGAGATGTGGGCCATGTCGGATAGCAGGTAGGCGCCCACGGAGTCGGCGATCGCGCGCATGCGCGGGTAGTCGATCAGACGGCTGTAGGCCGAGGTACCCGCAATAATCAGCTTGGGTCGGTATAGGGTAGCCGACTTCTCCAATGCATCGTAGTCAATCAGGCCAGTCGACTCATCGAGGCGGTAAGGGAAGGTCTCGAAGTACTTGGAGATGGCGGAAATCTTCTTGGTAGGGGTCTGATAACCGTGGGACAGGTGGCCACCGTGGGGAAGGTCCAGGCCCATGAGGCGGTCGTGAGTGTTGAGGAGGGCGGAGTAGGCCATAAGATTAGCGGGCGAGCCGGACAGGGCTGAAATGAGTTAGCTTTCGCACATCTTATTGTATCATGTCGACTGGATCATACGTTGAACGTTCACTCCCCATTCCTCCGGGTCCAGACGGAATGTCTCCAGGGCACGCTGCTGGCACAACCGCTCGGAGGCATCAATGTGTTCGTTTCCTCCATAGTACCGGGCACCGGGGTATCCCTCGGAATATTTGTCTGGATTGCGGTTAGAATGGTCTGTCAGGGCAAGCAGAGGCGGTCGCCCGGAGTACATACTTTGCATAACACTGCCGAGGGCATCGAGAACAGCTTGTGATGTGAAGTTCTCGGAGGGAATCAGATTGATGAAGTGCTTTTGGCGTTTTTTCTCCTGTAATTGTTTTAGCAGCTGGTCGGTCAATTGGTGAGCTCTCTATTAGCGATGACGCACCTTCTGTAGGATGCTATAAACGGCGGGGTCAGACTCCTCTAGAGAGGCCGCGAGCAGCTATCAATTAGTTAGTTTATATGCTCCGTTTGCCATTGAGTCGATTCCGGCCACCAACCTTGTGCTGCGTATCGCGAGTGGACGACGCTACTCCCCGCGATTGGGGGGCCAATCTGGGCACGATAGAGGCGCGAGCGGAGACAACGGCTGCCCGGGAGCTCCCAAGGGGGAGCAAGCGAGCAGCGGATCTACCACAGCGAGACAAATACATGATGAAGCTGAAGAAGGTCAATTCCCAAGCAGAGTATTATGTACTTAGCCGATAGGAAAGTGACGGCTTTTAAACGACTGATGCTAGTCGGACGAGCACTGGGACCTTTCCGTTGCCCGCGGAAAGCGGGAAAAATGCACTATTCCCGTTCGAGCTCTCCGCCTGGTCCGTGCGCCAGCTGTTGGTTTATCTTCGCTCGGCAAAAACTTTTCCTCCTTTTCTTCTTCACACAACTAAATCCAAGATGAAGAAACGGCGTCCTAATCTGTGTCAGCACTCGTCGGTGACGGCTGGGCTTCGGTCTAGCTGGCGCTGGACGGGCGCTGCTGAAAGGTCCCACGCCTCTTAACCATCCTTTAAGGGGCCAGTACCACCGGATTGGAATTGTTGTGTTGGTTCACCTTCTTTGGAAGGTCGGGATTGGTCTGCTGTGTCACCCACATCTCCATGAACCCTTCGTGGCAACAGTTCCACTGTCGCATTGTCGACACTCTAGTACAACAAGGACATACGATTCTCGTATGCTCCGAGTGACTCTTGAGTACAATTAGGTTCGCAGTACATAATCGCTACTATTAGTCTTTTACAATGTCCATGTCTCGCATTCTCTCTTGTACATTCTCTCTTGTACGCACTCCATTCTCACAATACATGATGTGGTGACACCATCCACTTTGTCTAGCAAGGGACCAGTGTGTTCATACAATGAACATCACCAGTCTATTATTTCATGGACTATGATTAGAATAGAACAGAAATGTAGTGACCTTTTTCGCCTCTATTTCGTATATTGCTCCCGAGCTCCTCACGTTGTCATTAAGTCTAATTTAATACTCACAGTTGGCCTTCACATATCCATTCAAACAAGATTCATAGCCAATGCTAGCCTGGGGAAACGGCATAGTCGTGAATGAAATCCGGTTCCCACCTTTTAATTCACTTTATAGAAGGATTCTGCATCGCTCAACGTAGTACAAGGCAAACCCATCATTAGCCTCTAGGTCTGGGTTTTCAATCTCAAGAAGTACGCCAAGTTTAAGCAAGAGCTCCTCCTGCGTGGTAGTCTGTCTGTCAATGACCCTCAGGATAAGCCGAGCTATATCGAGATATCCTCGTTTTGAGACTATTCCCAATGGGGTCGTATAGGCAGAAGACCCTCCCAGGGGTTCTGCGCCTTGTTCCAACAAAAACTGAACGAAAATGTCCGTATTTGCTGGGCCTGGTGGAACCCCTATCATGATCACATTATCAAGAGGAGACTCTGCTAGAAGTGATTTTCTCGGTTCACTGTATGCGTCGTGCTCTCTTGGCAGATCCATAGTAGTCGCATCGGTATTTGTATCTTTCTGTGGCGCCGGGCATGTGGGTATCTCAATTCCCAGTATGTTCCGATCTCCTGGAGAAGCAGATGGAGAATTCAACAATCCTCTGTCTAGCAGGAGCTTAAACAACGGAAAATCTGCTTCACCAACAGCAATGTTTATGGCTTCCTCGACATCTAGGCTTCCTGGGGAAACGTTCAGTCCAAGACAAGCCTTGCCATTGCTTCACCCCCGGCCATTGCGGCCCTTAGCAGGGGCTTGTAACCCCAACAGCCAGCTTTGACAGGTGTTTGCAATGGTATGCCTCTTTCTAGGAGGATTTGGACTATTTCAGTACAACCCCTTTCGAGAGCCTCTTGGAGGACGAATGTGCTTGTTGGTGCTCGTCCAGCGCCCTCAAACTCGTGACTGATTGATATAATCTCATGTATACTCCGGTTGATCTGGATTATGGCTTCTACTGCTGGCGCCAAAAGGTCCGCGCCTCGGTCAAGCAGAAGGCGGAAGATCTCTGGATACGGGACAGCCCAATAGATGCACGGTAGATCACCAATCTCCCTGTTTTGGTCATACCATCGTCCTATCCCATTTGGCTCTGCGCCGTGATCTAGGAGAAGCTTCACAATATCCAGGTGTCCTGAGGCCACTGCATGGAGAAGTGGGAATGGTTCTTCATATCTTGAAGGAGGGTTGTATCTTGCATTGTAGGAAAGCAGTAGTTGCACGGTGCTGTAATGGCCTCGATCGGCCGCGAGCGATATAGCCGGGAGATGCTGTTTGGCGAGGTCGGGAATATTGGTTGAATGGAAACAGTATGAATATCGTACATTTGTATCCGCCAGACAGCCCTGGTCGAGGATTTGTCGCAACATGTCGTCCCATCCACAAGCAGCAGCGGCCAACAAAAGCAATTCTTGATTCCGGCCTCTCGATCTGATCATATCCTCCAGGTCGATAGATTCACGGAGGAGCTGAGCTACTGCATAGTTCTTCAAAGTGGCAGCATTTACTAGTGGGAGGACGTTTATGCCACTTGGTTCCTCGGGAAATGGATTCGCCCCATGGACAAGCAGCATTTTGACTATCTCTGGGTCGCGCAGGCAAGCACCCAGAGCCATGGGTGACCGACCTGGCCGCCGTATCTCGGGCGGTATCTCGGGATGGACTCCTTTCTCAAGCAGGAATCGAACCACACTGGTCGATTCTGCCTCGATTGCTCTGCATAGAGCATCGTGATGTTCAGCAAAATCGATCGATCCAAGACCACAGCCATTCTCCACAAGAAGTTTAACGGTATCGAAGCGTCCTCTTCCCGCTGCGTATCTCAGCATTGCCTTGAATGTTAGACGGCCAGTGACCGCCCCATAATCAAGTAATAATCTGAGGATTGGCAAAGAGCCCCCGTATGTGGCTTCCTCAAGTATATTGTTATTGAAATCGGTCCTGTCCTTGCCGGAGGCCGCCTCGTTGTTCCAGTATGCAACCCGATTCGGGTCGATACCATGCTCCAGTAGAAGGCGTACGATGGCTTCGTGGTTATGATATGTAGCCACAAACAAGTACTCCCAACTTTTGTGGCATGTTTTCTCTGGGAGTCTCACTTTAAGTGAGAGCCGCGCAGTGGCTACTTTGCCATTTTCTGCTGCCCAGCCCAGGGCACGGTTGGAGTAAAACTCGGCATCCCATTGATAGAGGGAGGGGTTCAGGAATAGGTATAGGGTTCGGCATGTTCGGACAAAAGAGTTGAGAGACCATAAGTCAGGGTAGAAGTGGGGGTCTTGCAAGGAAGAGGGACTGTAGAGACACCATTGGTCGGGTATGGACTGGAAGATGAGGTGGATAATCTCAAGTGGCAGATCTAGAAGATACATTTTCGACCTTTCGAAAAGTCGAACCATAATAGAATTCCGAGGTATATCCCAGAGCTCCGATACAAGTACGCAATAAAGCGGTCAACGGGCCGCGAACTACCGCAGATGCCCAGATGGCCATGATTCTTGCATACAACATAAGCACGATATCTTCAGGAAGTGATTAGGAGATCCGCTCCAAGCGTGAAAATGTTTTCTTAATCTCTGTACATTCATCTTTCGTCTATAATCCGCAAGATAATGTAAAAAATGTTACTCGAAAGATATCTATAACAGAAGATACAAGACACCAAATAGCTATTTTGGGTATCTATTTCATATCTGTGCAGAAAATAATATATATAACAGAGTACAAATAGTCAAGGCTTGTCTAAAAGGTATTAAAGATCAGTGATACCTAGGTACATACAACATAACGTATTAATATAATAAGCTGATCTAAGCACCTAGAATTATAATCGCCAATACCCAGGGAAATTGGTCCAACCCTAGCAGGGCCACTATGCCTAATTGGGAAAGGATTCCCCGGGCTACGCACCTTGAACCGTGTTCCTGAGTGCGTTAGTGCGTGCCCTTAAGGTGAGCAAGGACGCGAGGGAGGAAGTGACTTAGGTTTACATAGTAATTTGGCTGTATCATCAAGTACCTTTTCTACTTCCTCTCGATTGTTTATTTTCTTCCAGTGTCTTATTGCCCACTTTGTCTCTACCCCTTTTCCCGTTTTTTCCCAGTTCCCTGGGCAGTGTGTGCCTTAGTGGCACGGGTACCTGAATCTCATTTAATTAATCTACAGGATTGGTTATAAACTCTCCTGTTCCCCCCCCTACTTTTCCTTCTCTCTCTCTTCACCCACGCTGACATTCTCTAAATCCCCGGTTTTCAACCGATTACATTCTTTTAAACCCCCTGTCGCTCTTTTACCATATAACCTTATCTCTGAACATTTTTGGAATCATTCCAATCATCTCTATCAACTCTATCACAATGCGTTTCTCTATTGCCGCTCTCGCTCTCGGTGCCGCTGGTGCCATGGCCGGTGTTGTCACCGAGACTCTCACTGAGTACACCACCTACTGCCCGGAGGCCACCTCCATTGTGCACGGAAGCCAGACCTACAGCATTGCCACCGTATGTTGATCTTACCAACAAGTTTGCAACAAGTATACTGACAGCATTCCAGCCCGGCTACATCACCATGACCCACGGTCCCTACACCGTGACTCGTCCCGTTTCGACCTCCACCGTGACTGAGTGCAAGTCCTGGTGAGGATTTCTCTATATCCCCCATGTCCGATCAATCCAATCTAACATATTCCTCAGCTCCGCCGCCGCCGCCGTGACCGCCCCCGTGGTTGCCAGCAGCGTTCCCCTCATCCCCGTCGCCCCCACCGTCGCCACCTCCACCCCTCTGGTCCCCAGCGCCGGCTCCACTGGCGTGCCCAGCTCTCCCAGCTCTCCCTCCAGCGCTGCCACCCCCTCCCAGCCCGCCTTCAACGCCGGTGCCATCAACGCCGCTACCGGTGCTGGTGCCGGTCTGGCCGCTGTCTTCGGTGTCGTTGCCCTCATGCTGTAAAGCAATTGAGTGTCAATCGTATCATGAAGAGATAGCATCGTGACTGGTGTCATCACTTTTGATGACATCCGCACGATGCTATCGGGTGTTTACGGCTGTGGGTCCTTCTTCTGGTGTATATGTCTTGTCTACGTCTTCTTAGATAATACATAATGAGCCCTCTGGGGTTATCTTTTCACGTCTGCCTTTCTTGTGGAGCTTATCTTTTGTTGGTTTTCGCGCATTATTCTCCTGGACATAACGTTTTTTTATTATATTCATATCCAACTTTGATCAAGCATGATCTTTTACTTTCTACTTATTTTGCTTGTATTGATTCGATCTTCTGTTTGTACTTGCTTTGATGTAAATATATCTAACTATAGATACATAGTCACTAACATCCGTGCATCCGACGTCACATCAACTATCGCTATCATCTTCACACAGCCCCATCTTGATTGCACATGCATCTGATACTATATCAAGTTTGATATCACAGTGTCTATCGACCTTATTTATCGACCTCATTTGTCAATTTCAGCTATGCGCATCTATAAATTCATGGCAATACTCTGTCTGCACATCGACTCATCATCCCTCTCTCTCTGTATCTTCATCCCCTCTGCACAATAGAAACCTTTGATATCTCTTTTATCACCTATCTGACCAAAATGATGCCGGCTACTCCAAAGGAAAAGGCCCAGGCTTCAGCCCGCCTCAAAGATCCCGCCCAGGCTAAACAAGTGAAGGTCTGGTCTCGCGGCGTACACACTTATATCCCTTATATTAAACACCCTATCCCTACAGCCTGCGGATAATATCAAAGACACTGACATACATATGCACTGTAGGATCTCCTCGATGTCAACTCTTCTGGGTCGACTGTGACCAAAAAGCGCAAGAGGGGAATTCGATCTAGGACCAAGCGCCTAAGGATGAGTTCCTCGATGGAGACCATATCCCCAGAGTCGACTACCTCCAAGACCTCTCACAAGCGCTCACCCAAAAAGGAGCATAGGAGAGACAGCAGTGCGGCCAAGTCTGCCATCCCACCTGGAATGCAGCAGCTCACATCTCCCGAGCACACTCAGCCTGAACTCTCCCCCAAAGCGTCGTCGGAGCAGAAGGCTGCGAAGGACTCTGCTTCTACCAAGCACACAACCCCACTTGAGCTCCCAGATTTTCAGCCTTCAGAGTTCATATTTCCCCACGAGTTGGAATTGGGTCCATTTGACTGTTCATCTGACGAGAGGGGGACTTCCTACAAGCCAACCTCCGACTCCCTGTCTGAGAAGCACGACGAAGTCCCCACCCCGTACACCCCGGCTTTGCGCGTGGTCTCGCAGTACAAACAGTGTATCTCGAGCCAACGTGGGGGCAAGTGTGATATATGGCTGGCGCGCCAGATGTATGGTGAGTTGGAGGATATCTCTACTCGCATTGAAAAAGTTATGCATGGGATCACGGCGATGCTGGAGGAGAGGGGGGCGAGCGATGAATTTGATGCAGGTGGTGATTTTGAGGGTGCTGGTGATTATTATTTTGAGACTGAGGAGTCTCCTTGTGCGTCCAAGGGTGGTGGTCCTGAGAATCCGTTGGAGTTGAGCGATGGAGATGATAATGCACTTTTTGTGGGCTCTGATGAACGCGCTTGCTCTGATGAGTTTGGTGGCTTGTTTGTGAGTGAGTAGATAGGGCTGTTCAATTTTATCTAACCACAATAGCTTACTGCACATATTGTAATACTGTTATCTTTGGTGTTCCTTGGCTTCCTCTATATTGACTGAATTGGACAGCGTTTCAGTGCGATGGTGATTGAATATGCTTAGAGACGGACAAGTAAATTCTGATAGCAGAGCCCATTTCCATCTTCACACTTCAAAGAAGAGATATCGTCACCCAATTTGTGTAATCAACATTCTGTTTCACACTTTCAATGCGCTCATGTCAAGTGCCAAAAATTCTATCCCAGACGAGTCTGCTTCCCACGGTTATGGCTCTTTCTCCACCCATAGTGGCGATGTAGGACCTGTGATGTCTACGGAAAATGTGAGGGATTTCCATGATGTATCTGGGGAGCAAATCGAAACTTCAGTTGATCAATTGTTCAAGTTTTGGGAGTGAAATTTATATAATGTTTTGACATATGTATGTCTTAAGCCAAAATTTTGTCAGCGCTATCATTGTCCCTGCTATAAACGTGCGTGCGTTCTTCATCCGTTTTGAACGACCGATGGACGGAGATATCTTTCGTGCCAGCAAACGGATCGGCATGACCATCCTGGGTGCTGTACAGCTCGTACGAGTGCTGCCCTCCACTATTTTTTGGCTGGAACTTGTTTATAGGCGTGTCCTCTCTGGGTTTCGTAGTTCCGTGCGAGCGCGACGAGAATAGCGAAAGCCGCGGTAGATATATTGCGATTAGACGTTTGAACCGCATTGCGCAGGCGCAGATGATGCCGAGGTTGACCTCAACGAGGGACCATACTCCTAGGATGGCTTCGGTATAGGTTGTGTCGGCAGTTTTGCTGAGAAGCAAGACGTATGGTAGGCGTGCTATTGAGCAGATGATGACACTGTGGGGTGGGGATTAGTGGGGGTTGTTTCTGGGAAAAGAATGGAATAACACGGGCAATTTAAGAGATGAGGAAAAACATACCCAGATCCCAGAGCTAGCAGGCAGCCTACCATGGCTTTTTGTTTTGCTGAAAAATGAAGACTGTGGATCGTCGGGATTGGGATGGCGATCACAGCTAAATCAGAGGCAATATTCAGAACTGCCTGAGACAGAGCGACGTTTTTTAGGCATGTTGTAGTTCCTGCATGGAGAGGATTACACGGTCCTCCGGTGATGATACATAAGGTCAGGGTATATGCAAAGATCGCCACTGCGAGGGCCACGACGAGGTAGCGGTATATCTTTGCAGGATTGATTTGAAACAAGACAGAGAGAATGGCCATCTTGGTGATGGATGGACATATCAAGTAAGTCAATGTATTGACAAGCAACCGCTGCTTCTTGTCAGCCACTGTGCTCCAAAATATGTCAAGAAGTCTCACTTGATTGAACTCCATGAGTTCTTCCAAGCTAACATTCCACATGTGCTTTCCCCAGCCATAGTTCATTACTATTTGAGTCAGATTAAAGCTTAGTCCCCAGATGCAAGAAACTGACAGTTAACCACAGTCACAAAATAGACCAGCGCAATGCCATAGGAAATCGTGATGGTGACTATCGAGTGTAGTATAAGTGTCTAGCAAAGTCTCGAAGAGGTTCGTATCATACATACTCAAGTCTACCTCAATCTTCTTGGTTAGCTTAAAAGCCTGGAAATAGCGAAGACCAAGGAAAATTGTAGCAATAAGATAGGTGATGCCAAAGGCAAGGACAGTCCCTGTTTGCAACGAGTTATAGGGCTCATGGAAATGCGACTCCTGGCCGTCTGGCGGCGGCATTCCCGGGGTTGTAGCCAGATCCATTGTATCTGATTGTGGACTTAATTCGATCCATATCAGTATGGGGTTTCTGCCTCTATATTGTTTAAATCCCCGTTCAAGTGTCGGCAATTTCCCGCCCCGCGGCCTAGACACTTGTCAAAGCTGCTTCAGAACGGTAGCAAAAATAACCGTAGTCAGTAAAATCGGAAATTGATTGAACCTTAGTAGGGGCTCGTTTGTACTAGCTCATCCTGTCAGAGCTAACTGCCGTAGACTGTCCTTCCTTAGCCTATCACAAAGGTATTGTTTTATCTCCCCCACAAAGGGTACTTATTCAACGCTAGGGGAAAGTATCCCGAGAAGAGACGCGTCAATTTTCAAAACACTAAGTGGAGATTGACACTAGTATAGAATGCATTAGATCTAGAGAAAACATGAAACGGCCCCCGCGCCATGTTTTTGGCTGCAATTGGGAATAGGGGTTGCCAGCTGATAATGCATGCATCATTCCCTCTCGGAAGCAATGAAACTCTTTCTTTTGATACAGTCTGGTCCCTAGTCGTGGTACACTAATTCACAATATGAAATTGCCGTTTGGGCGTCAGCCTACCGTGGAGCCAATTCCAGGTGATCGAGTAGTGCCACTCCATTTCTTCGAGGATAGTTTGCTTGTCCAGGGTAACAACATGGCCGTATCGCTCGTGTTTGATGCAGTACTTGATCCAGAGAGATTGCGCGAATCACTCGAGGGCCTGGTCAAGCAAGAGGGGTGGCAAAGGTTGGGAGGAAGACTAAGGAAGAATGTAAGAACGAAGCATCTCCAGCTATATGGAGCTACATAAAGATAAAATTTCCCCAAACGTGTATACTAACACTCCCGGTGTTATCAAATAGGCCTCTGGTAAGATCGAATGGCACATTCCAGCCCAGTTCTCGACCGAAAGACCAGCAATCTCCTTCGCGCATGTCGATCATGGTATGCCTGCCGCTTCACATCCCGCAGCCTCTCGGATACCGAAGCCACAAGATCGACCCTGCATCGTCGGCGACCCAGATGACCTAGAAGGCCTGGCATGGGAGCCCGGTTACAAGCCTAACGGGATAAATGACTACCTCACCTCGGACCTTCCTGTCTTAGGGCTGCGCGTTAACTCTTTCACCGACAAGACCGTTGTAGTGCTGCAGTGGCAGCATGTTGCCTTCGACGCGCTGGGCATGCAGTATGTCGTCGAGGGCTGGAGTTCCATTCTTTGGGGGAAAACAGCCGAAGTATCGATCCCATGTGGTCTTGACTCGGATCCATTTCACTCTCTCGCCCAGGGGTCGCGTCCCACCACTGAGCAACATGTATTGACTAACAGAAGGGTCGGACTGGGAGGTTTGCTGCGGTGGGGTCTGGGATATGGAGTCGATATGCTTGTCCGAGCCAAGGAGAACCGCATGGTCTGTATTCCGGAGACATATTGGCGGCCACAATGGGAGAAAGCTGTTGAGGAACTTTGTGCTGAAGCGATCGCGAACGGCGAGGACACCTCAGAAGTGTTTTTGACCGAGAATGACGTTCTGACTGCCTGGATCTTACGCTGTGTGGTTGGTGAGGTGGGGATGAACCCCGAGAGAACGGTGAATTCCGATGCCTGTACATGTTAAATGAGTTACTAACACCCTCCTCTTTAGGTAGCTGCATCAATCGCCATGTCGCTCCGCAAATCGTTCGAAGGTGACCTCCTGCCAGCCTCTACTGACCATCCCTACGTTGGTAATGCTTTCGGCTGGGCCAACGTACTTGTTACCGCGGGCGATGTAGATTCCAAGCCGCTTAGCTGGCTTGCACGGCAGGTCCGGCGCGCCATCAACGAGCAGGGCACCCGTGCTCAACACGAGGCATATTACGCCATGGTCCACACATCCGGGACCGGTCTACCCATTGTCGTATTTGGAGATGGTGGCATGGCCCAAGTCGGTTTCTCTAATTGGTCGAAAGCTGGCTTGTTCAACTTGGACTTTTCCCCGGCTCGTCAAGGCCCAAGAGATGACAGCCTGCCATGCAGGCCTTCATATGTTCAAGAGAACCACGGTCCTGTGAAGCCTGCGGATGGTTTCTTCATCCTCGGGAAGGACGAGAAGGGGAACTACTGGACCTCCGCATGTAAAGTGAAGGGCCAATGGGCGAAATTTGAGGAGCAGTTGAAAGATTTTGACATATCCGGTTCGGCATGAATCCGAAAAGTGAAAAAGGATTGGGGTCGATCTGTGGTAAGGAGAAGTGACGAATTTTCTTAACGTAGTGTGAATCTATACTAAGGTCGAGGTTCCCTCCACGGGTTTGCCTATCGCGAAATATATATTTGCGTCGGTGGAGACCTATCGATGAACAGAATGCGAAACATATATATACATCTTCAAAGTATCGAGCTTGCTCTTCTCATGTTTGACATTTGAATGTATAAAATCCTGGGTAATGTCTTGACTTTTATTTTTGTCATTGCGTGTTTACGCTGTGGCCTAAGGCAGCCAAGCCTCTATGACCTCCTCTCCGCAGTCATCCTCTTTCTCCTCTTTCTCCCCTTTCTCCCTCTTCCAATTCCTATCCCTCACCTTTCTCCCTCCAAATATCTCAACCCTATTTTGCCTTCGAAATGGCCACTCTATGCAGGCTCTACGGTGGAAAACAGATCACTTGACCAAGTTTATCCGCCCTGTTCACCCAGTATAGGAGTATCCAAGAAGAGGATCAATGAATGTCGACAAACTCAGAAGGAGAGACAGGATATAAAGTCCCTACGCAGCCTAACATCATCCACGTATATCAATGCCAAGGACCCCGGCATCAAAAGCCTCCCCCGATTCCGCACTATACCGTGAGTGTTTCTTGGGACTACCAAACAGTGCCAGGCAAAAATCTTGGCTCTTGCGGATCGGAAAAGTCCCCAAATGCCCCCCGATGGGAATATTATGCGCTGCTCGGATCATACTTGTAGTGACACTCCTTTGGACTCCTGTGAACTATGCGAACAGATAGCCTTCGGTATCTGAGGCCATTTTTGGCAAAATTCCACAATCCAATGGCGGTTTGGCCGAGTGGTCTAAGGCGATTGAGTACGTTCCACTTCACAAAAACATATCCACCAAAACATCCACTAACATTTCAAACAGCTAGAAATCAATTCCGTTCGCGGGCGCATGTTCGAATCATGCAGCCGTCGTTGCATATCTTTTTTTTTTGGCTCATTTCCCGCTTTTCTTGTCTGTTTTTGAACTTGTTCAATTTTTGCGTGTGGAGGTCTTCCGCAGTGTAAAAATCTGCTCGGTTGGGGTATGCCAATTTTAGGCCATTGATAGGGCATCAACCAAAATTTTACTGGTGACCGGAATTGGAGCTGTATACGTAAATACCGAAAGCTGATGTAGTGATGCTATACTATAGATGGCGATATAACATCTGGGTTTCCGGCTTCAAAGTGTGCCTTACGCGCTGGTGTTTGTCCGACAGCGACAAAGATTGGGAATTAGTGCAAACAGAAATGCTTTTTATAGTTTCAAAGAATCGAGATTTGGGCTTGGTATGCCAATTGCAAGCCCATATTCTTTCATACAGCAAATGCACAAAGAAAAACCGAAGAAGCAACTCGAACGAATCTCATCAAAGAAAGCCAACCATTCCATACAAGATACCTCCACAAACCCTCCGTGCTCATGGTTGTCTGACTCTTGCTTCGTCCTTTATCTCTATATAAAATAACATCCATCTTACAACACTACCTTCTGTTTCAAAATGTCCGATAAACCGGGCGATGGCAAGACCCCCCGGCGGGCCCGAAAACCCCAGGGTTTCTTTAGTGAAAAACAGCAAGAACAGCGCAATGAAGTGGCTAGAGGCCAGCTTGAAGTTGACCTTCCTCTGCGACCAAAGGACAAAAGGCCAGCTCCAGATGATTTGGAAGAGTCAGGCTCCGTAAAAAAGAAGCAACAGAAAGAAGTCCCAAAACCAAACCCTCTGGACGTGAAAGCTTTCTTGGCCGATCTGAAAACCGATTACTCTAAAAAGAAGCTTGAACCTATGCCAGCAAGACCTCCCAAGCAGAAATGGCGTCCGGTAAAGACTGCCATTACAGACCGGGCGAAGGCACCCAAAGGCTGGAATCCAAGAGAGCCTGATCTGATTAACGAGTCAGCTCCATTTACTTGATGGTCAAAATACAACTCCTGACATATGGTCCCTAGTGATCTTGAGCCTCAAATCACGAGATGCCGCGAACGGATTAAGGAGAACATCATGCCTCATGTCTATGAACATAAACTGGAAGAGTTCCTGGTGGAGCAGAAGGGACGAAAGTCGGTTATCACAACTCGATATGAATATATTGACAATTGCTAATGATTTAAATCCTATTTAGTAAGAAAATGGCTGCAGAGCATGGGCTGAATTGGCCCGTCGTGCAACGCTTAGAGAATCTGAAATATATCCTGGAATGGACTCAGAGCAATGCCATTAAGGATACATATAAGATCGCTAGGAACATTCAGAATGTCATACTAGCCTACCGATCGGGTGTATTGAATTGGTGTCATGGATTCATCACCTACTGGCACAATGGAGCCCAGCTCTGCGCGCCAAGGCCATTCAAGTGGAATGAATTCCAATATCTCTATGACGAATACAAGGGAAATGAAACGGGGTTTTGGATTGAAGGTGTAAGTCTTGTCAGTTGATATCTTATTATTGGCTGAACGATTATGCTGATTTGAACTATTTAGATGGATGGGCCTGGACCTAGCAGTCAACAGGCTGTGATCGAATGCGGAACGGGTTCTAGAAAGTGGGCAGCTGAGGTATCTACCTATGTTGTACGCAGGTTTCTAATGCTAAGTGTTGGTTCTAACATTTTATTAGACGTCAATTGCTCTTCGGATCCCTATGACAGGCGGGAAAACACAACCTGGGCCTTTTGAGTTCCAGTTCAAGGACGATACCGGGGCTGATTATATGGTCCTTTATGACGAGGATGTGAACCAACTAAGGACCAATCTACAAGCCAATGGTGTTATGTACCCCTTGCCTCGACTCTTGGGCGTGCTAGTTGTGACTTTGGGCGATGGGAGCAAGAAAGCCATGCTAGTAAGAGAATTAGAAGTCAATATGTGGAATGAGCAAGAGAAGCAATATATGGCAGCCAGTTGGGACTCAATACCGGTCGTCGTCCTTCCTGGACGTGGAACAAAACGCCTAAATGGTCCTTGGATGCGTTGGAAGTTCTACACAGGAACAGCACCCGATAACTCCAACCGTTTGTGGATATATGATTACAATCCCACGAATCCCCTTATGCGTGGCCCGAAGCTTCCTACTGCTACTCAGGCGCAAATGAATAGGCTGTTGCCGACTGCAAATAAATATGAGAGCATTGGGAATCATCCTCAGTTTAACCCGGATATCCCATCGGGGAAGTCGATAATATAACCAGTTGAGCGAGATTGATGTGTGTTACTCTGTGGGTTTCTTTAGATAGATTTGTCTCTTTCATTCCTATACGCACGTGTGCTGAGTTACTATGCGGGAAATCAAGTATTTACTACTGTTTTTTCTCACTGTTTTCTGATTACTCTCAAGTTGAACTCACCCTTATGTTCCCCTATCTGAGGCGGAAGTTGTCCGTCTCAAAATTTTGGTTAAGTCTCTCCGATTTGAGCTCGTGCTCTTTCATAAGCTCCACCCTGTGCGCCTTAGCTTTGTCCATCGTCATTAGGGGGTCGATGTAGCTCTCAACAATATACTGCAATTCCAAAGGTAGTCTTGACAGCACTTGATTCACCGCCAGCTGCCTATCGCCACCCCAATCCTCCCTCTGCGGAGGCACATTGGCAGAGGAGATAACCCGCCGATGAGGATCCACCAAAAATAGTACGAGGATCTTACGATGGCCAGGCTTAGATCGGTCGGCTAGCGAGAACGGGGAGACTCGGTGTTGGACGGTGTTAGGAAATGTGAGGAGTCGGCCGTCCTGGCAGACAACTCCGCCAAGATCTTGTGTGACATTAGTGCTGCCGTTGCCCCGGACGTCATCGCCAAAGCCGTAGACCGCTTGTAGGAACTGGTGGTGCCCATGTTGATAGCCGATATTTATCATGCTATCCATTCCATGTTGACGGAAAGCTTGAGTGCTCTCGATGATGTTTTCGCTTTCGTAGTAGTAGATTGCGGTGGCACAAATACGCTCGTTCTGATTTTGATTAGTACAAAGAGCTGAAAGGGGTAAAATATGAATCACTTACTAGCTGCCCCTCCAGGTGCCATGAATCCCCTTCATAATCAGGGTTGTTAGAGGTCAATTCGATATTGGCCAACTTCACAATGACCTGCAGCTTCGTTCCGGAGAATTGATTCCGTAGATTGACCCTGCGCCATTCCCCAGGGAAAGTAAACTCGCCCGGTTCAGGGAGTAGAATAGGACGGGTATTGTCCCACTGCCATATAGGTTCCAAGAACCACTCTTCAGCCTCGTCTTCGGTATCGATTTCTTCCTCGTCATCTCTCTCAGGCGAAGTGGGTCTAGACTCTGTATGCCTTTCGAAATTGACTTCCCGGTAATTGATTCTGTAGCTATAGAATTCTGTCAAGCTCTGATCCCAGAGTGGGATTGTGCAGGCGATGATCTTCTCAACCACATCATAGAGCCTTTTATGGCCAACGGGATGGACATTGTTAATATACGAGACAATTGTGCAGCCGGAATTATGAGTGAGTTCAACGTCGGATGGGAGCCATTGGGACTTTTCGTTGAAAACTGGGATCTCCATCTCTCGATTATGAGCTTGAAACTCGTTGTGTTCAATAGGCAAACAGCAGTTCTCCCTGGAAGGAAGGAGGACCAAGTCCCCCTGTCCCACGCTGCGTATGCAGTCATTGGTACCGATTGTTCTATTTGCTAGAACACGAGTCTGGCCGTATATCACCGGAAATAGTGAGGGATCCACTAAATTGATCACCTTGTTGTCAGATCCCGGGTGATAGTCTTTCTGGTCCTCTGGAATATTCTTCAGAGGCTTCACGGCCTCTTTTAATGCCTGCTGTAGTTCTTTCGATATGGCGGTATCCGACTTAATAACGCCCACATCAAAGACACGGACAATCCCTTCCTCTTTGAAGACCCCGGTTTTCCATTGAAGCTCTTTGACAATCCAATCCATCATCTTCGGAGTCACGTCTTGTCCGCTTTGGATGATTTCATTCTGCCATTTAGCCGTGATATCCTCATCAAAGATCTGTAGGATGTTGGAACTAAGACAAGAAATAGCGATGAGACCTTCGCACCTTTTGATCCCATTCAGGCTTATCGGTGATGGTATTCATGACTTGCATCATGAGAACCTCTCGGTGGGTGACCAGGTCACTGGAGAATCTGTGTCAACTTAAGACATCGCCCACAGACACATCAGCATGACATACTACATGCAGCCATATGCATGGTGATCCTTATCTAAACCATTCTGGAACCCATTGATTCCCATACCAAAAATATTTCGCTAGCCTGTTAGCGTGTGTCGTATAAAAAAAACGTTCAGTTCTCACATTGGGCTCATAGTTCAAATCTACATTGAACCCTGGCATTCGAAGCTGTGGATTGGAGTCTGAAGACATCTTGGCGTGAGAGATTGTAGTAGAAAAGTATCAATGCTGAAACTCATCTTCTGTATCCCGGCCTCAGGCAGAAGCTGATTTTCAGACAGAAATGGCGCTAACCCTAGTGTCGAGGAAAACACCGAGAGTGGATTTCTTTAAGGGAGAGTGTTGCGCTGAAACCAAAGAGAAAGAGAGGAAGATGATGTTATTATCTGGCTGCTGCGAGGGGATCGGTCACGTGCCAGGAAAAAAAAAAGTCCAAGTCAGCCTCTGGATAGAGGGGTTTCAGGGCTGTGAATTTCTCGGTTTTCTCAGTGGCCTACAGCAGAAAGGCTACGGCTGAACCAGGTATCTGACTAACACAAATTTGGGTTGATGTGTTGATGTCAACTATGAGACACTTGACTCCAGACATTGCCATGTAGTATCCATCTCACTCTTCCTACACTTGGTTCCAGGTATTGCCATCATACATCAAGACATCCAAATCCTCCTGGCTAGAAAATTGAGTGATTGACTGGTTTTCAACCTGGCGGAGAGCTTCCGCGGACATTTGGCGCAGGGTTTCCACCCTCATTTCATCATCTGAGGGCCACCCATCCTCGAATACCCTTTGACCACCAAAGCTGCCGTCGGGGGCCTCGTCGTGAGCCGTGCGACTCTGGGGGAAACGGAAGTTGGACAGAGACTTTTTTGTGTAAATTCGATCATCATCAAGGGCACCGCTCCGGTCTTCCATTGAGATCGAAGTCCCAAGATCAGCCAAATTAGCTGGGCTTCCTCCGTCAGCGCACCAATCTGAATTATTCCCGGTATCTAGAATATCTTGTTCTAGGTCTGAAGGTGAGGGTATGCGAGGGATCCGAAATGGGCTCAGTTTTGAGGGGCTTCCTTGGGATGTTATCGGGGACTCGCTCTCTGAATCAAACAATTCTTCATCCAAATGAAGAAATTCACCGTCTAGCTCCCTCATAAACTGCTTGAATCTTTGAGTGTACTCTCTCATAATCGGATTATCTTGTCTGTTATTATTCTGGTTTCCATGACTGTGATCCTCATATTCACTGTCGTAGTTGTAGTCTTCGTCTTGCGGTTTCTGGATGTCCTCGGAATCGTAGGTGATTCCTTCATGCTCACACCAGAGGCAGAGTTTTCCATGGCTGGTGACGACCGGCTCGGTGGATCCAGGGAGTCTATTGGGGATATCATCGTGGAGGTCATTATGGAGGTCAGTGTCGTCATTCTGCTGATCGATGCTCTGGTCGATATCTTGGTCGAGGCTTTGGTTGTCTCTGGATATTCTATTCAAAACGTGATCCCGCTTCGAGAATAACAATACCATCGGGTTGATAGTTTCTGGGGTGGACAATGAGTGCGGAAGCATTGCCGCGGCGGGTTCATTCTAAGAGAATGAATCGTCAGCTTGCAATCTAGTAGTAGACTATATGTGTCTAATGTTAACTGACGAATGTGATACTTCGCTCGTCATCGGACACCAAAGGACTCAAATGCGATGTATTAATGTTGTCCTCCATCTTCTCACCGAGTTCGAACCGCAAAACTTTGGCTGCAGACCTAATTTTTGTAATAACCTCCTTCCACTCGCCATCGGTTTCAAATGCGGTGTTGATATGCACCTGGGACCAAACTGGGTCACGCCTGTTCTTCATCCAAACCCACTGTGTGTTGAGAGTGGCAAATGGAACAAACCCTTGAATGCCGCGCTGGTTTAGATGACCGCGAAATATGTAGGAGAATATCTCTTCGGTTTCTTTCTTGTTGCAAACAAAGAATCGATACAAACAGCAAAGCACCTGTCGCTTGTGTTGGTCCCATCGAAGGGTGGGTCTCTTTGGGAGCTTGGTTGGCATCGTTTTATGTGGATGGGGAAAGGGATTGAAGAGTCGAGTAAGGATACGGGGCGTAAGATATAGCAAGGACTGAAGGGTGACAGTGGGAGGAGGAAATAAGAAGCGAATTGAAAGAACAGTTTTCTGGAGCTGGTTGGGCGAGAGAGGTTCAAGGTAAAGACCAGACTCTGAGTTGGCAAACAGAGACGTGGTGACAATAACCATTTTATACGTTTTATACCTGATTCAACTTACTCTACACACAAATGTTATACCAAGGCTTTTAAATTCAAGCCTTGGAAACTTTTAATTCAAGCTGTAATAGATAAACGATAAGAAATAACGCGAAAACTTCAAAGGTTGCACTTCAAAAGTAACAAAGTGTCAAACCATCCCATTCTGCAACCTCCCTTCAATTCTTCCTTCTCAGTCTCTCCATGCTAACGTGGCCCCATGTGACTAAAATACCAGCCTGTCTCGCCATGGGTAATACGGCAATCTTTGTCATAATCATCTCCATGACTTTGGCGTTTCCAGTACTTTGGATCTCTCAGGGGAGAATGCTTCATACAGTCCAAGCACAGACCGTCAAAGTAGTCCAGGATCTCCTTGCAGGCTTTTTGAACCACCTCATTCCAGGCAATTGAGCATCCGCAACGCCCGGAGCATTTACAATGACATGGCTTCACATTTGGCTTTCGAATGTGGGCCTGGTCAAATAGCTCGAGTCTGTCGGTGATCTCCTTGATGCTGCTCTTGGAGAATGTGTTGTCCCCCCATGGCTTGATTCCAATTTGATTGAGTTCCCTTAGGTATGCGCCGATTGCGGTCTCATTACAGTCACATGGGCTCTGTGCGAGGCTCAAACCGACTTGTGCAAAAATCTGGCACTGAAGGGTTGTGCGGAGCTTTTCCCTGACTGCATTGAGTTGGCCTACGCGGATGTGAGAATAATTTGAATTCAAACCCTTCGAACTGGAGATATCCATTGTAGGTAATGGAACTCACCTATGAAGTAACAGGGGGTAAGATATCCTCGGTTAAATCTAATCGGCTTCGACTCTTTGATCGGAGTGGAAAGGTTTGTGTTGTAAACCAGATGTCTGGTCAAATCTTTGAAACTCTCTGCGTGGTCAAAAAAGTGACAAGGAAATAGAAGCTGGCGGTTGAACCTCACATCATTCCACTTGATGGGCTGCTCGTTACAAATCCTGCGCACCCAGCCACTGAACCATGGCTGCAATTCTTCACGATCGAAGCCATGATCGACAGAGACTTTGATGGCAGCCCAGATATCATCGATGGCCATAGTTGAAAAAGGAGTAGATTGGCCGTGAAAAGTGGCCAGCCAAACACCCATGCCTTTGATACTATCCTGTGGGATTTCGATGGTACTGTTTTCCTCCCCCCCCCCCCCCCCCCCCCCCCCCCCCCNNCCCCCCCCCCATCCAAACATCGTTATCGGCCAGAACTGACTTGTTGACGTAGAAGATAGCTTTCTCAGTGATGGGGGCATGTGGCGAGTTAAATCTGGCCGGAGAACCTTCGCTCACTTCGTCTGAATCGCTCGGCTCCGACTCATAGACCGGGTCTTCGTCAACTAATTCGGTAACCAAGATCTTGAGATCACTGGAAGTTGAAAATGTGAATACCGTGCTTTCGGCGGGGATTTCACTTTCAGAAAAAGATAAGGACTCCATTATAAAGAGGGGTTTGCAGGAATTGTGGTGATCAGAGTAGAGCCTCGAGGAGTTGTGGATGCAAAGAAGATGACGAGGCAAAAGAGAGGGAAAGAGCAAATGAGCTTGAAAAATATAGGAACGATGTCACCTGAAGTGTTAGAAAGTCAAGTGAGATTATCGTGAGGGAAAACAGGAGGAAAGAGAAGGGTTGACGTGAAAGATAGTGTGATGAATCTAGTGTCAAAGTGTATGTTGATATGAAAAGAAGTGAAACCATCCAGGCAAAGGTTGGGAAGAAGGCAGGATGTAAGATATGGTAGAAGTCGAATAGAGGGAATTTATAACAAAGTAGGATACTAACACAGGTGTTGCGGCTACTAGCTATGGAAGAGGAAGAATCCTTATATATTCAATCTAGGAAGAGTAGGGTATTTATTCCCTGAATCTAGCAAGCAGACAACGAACATGTATAGGCGTGTGGTAATATGCTTATCACAGCCTATGTCAGCGCTGGCAAGCAGGACTATTACACTGATTTATTGTAATTTCCGTGAAAGTAATTGAACTATATCGACACAAATTTCTTTCCACTGTTCACGTTACTACTGGCTTCAATAGAGCCCAAAAGGGGCTGAGGCTCAAATGAACTGGAAGTTACGGTGAGGCTCAACAGGGGATTTCCCCTCATATTCTCTCCACTTTCTGGAAACCACCTGGGCAGTTTGCTTTGCACAACATCTCAGCGAATTTACCATGGATATCAACCACCCCTCTCTAGACGCCCTCATCCTCAGATTACCCGATGAGATTTTGGATATGATCATTAGTGCAACAACGGCAATTCTCGATGAACACAGGTATTTGATCGACCGTTACCAAGCCTACGAGATGGCCGTTGTTCTCTCTCTTGTGTGCAAACGATTTTATCGCATTACTATGCCATACTTGTATGCAGAGGTAGTGATCTACACCGACAAAAACAATTGGAGACGGCCCTCGCAAATCTCCAAGCACCTTCATCGCACCTTAAGAGAAAATCCATTGCTTTGGAAACACTGCCGACACCTCACAGTGAGCTATAACAAAAACATCGATAATCTCTATATTGCAACGGATTGTGTCACTTGGCTCACTGCCGTCAAAACTTTGACCTTCTGGGGGTTGGAGGGCAAGAAGGCATGGGAGCTACTCCGATTAGCTACCAAACACATGTCTGGTTGCAATGCTCTCTCACTGGACTCCGACCACTGCTATAACCTCCACCTACCATTCGTGATAGATGTATTGGGTGATTTCAAGTCTGGATTGCTTCCTAATCTTGAAACCCTAAGACTGTCGGGCGTTTCCATTTACGGGGACCAGATGTGCCAGGCAGAACTTAGGGTATGTATATGCATTCGGGGTAATCCGATTTTATTACAACTTCTGCCGATGTACTAATAGACGACATATTCTTTTAGGAAAAAGCAGGAACGGCCCCATTTACGAAACTTCAACTACGCAGTTTTCTCCTAAGCCCGAAATCCCTCGAAGCACTCGTCCGTTGGCCAAGACACCTAGAGGAATTTGAGCTGCGATATTTATGTGGGGATGAGGCAGCTCCCTCGGGGCTCTATAGTGATTGGAGCCTGGCAACATTACAACCAATCCTTTACATTCACCGAAAAACCCTTCGGTCGATCAAATTATACCGCTTTAACAGGGGTGGGCTTGAGGGCTTTGACTTGCGCGAGTTCGAAAACCTAGAGCAACTTAGCCTTTCGTACGAATTTTCAGATCCCCAACGCTCCCCAAGGAACGAGGCTTTCGAGCCCCCTGACAGTCTTCTTGCCCCGCGCCTTCGTGTCTTCCACTGGAATTTGACTTCCCTGGATTCACAATGCGCTGAGAGGCTGGGTGACTTTGCCAAAGCAGAAGAAGATTGGCTACGACTACTCGCACGCAAGGCATTTAAACGCGGATGTCCTCTTCAAAGAATCGAAATCACGTTTACCCCCGGAACTGACTGCTTCGGCACTGGGGATGAGGTATATCCGTGGGACCGAATGGATGCTATAGGGGCTGATCTACGTCCACACGGCGTTGAAGTGTCTTATAGCACTCCTCCTGTAAGTAGGGAACGGTTTGCGATCAACCGTAAACAAGTTGCTGAAGACAATCTAAGAATGGCTGCCGAAGGGGAATGAATTGGAAGTATTTTGTAGGCTAGAATTATCTTGCCAACAGTTCGAAAGAATATTATGAGCATATGTGCACCTTTCAACCTGATCATTACATAAGACTGTATTATGAGTTGCTTAGGTATTCGCTACTGGCCAATTGGGTAGTTAGCTGGTCTTAGCACCCGACAGTACAACATACAAAGTACACCCCTTCCTACTTGAAAACACCTACTCTATTCAATCAAAACAAAACCCATAAAAGCAAAGTTTTCAAAAGACATAGGTAGTTACAGTGCCTAAGAAAGAACCTGAGATTTTTTCAACCACTCATGCGCCTCCTCATAAATCCCCCGCGCAACGTCCTCCCTCTTCCTCCTACTGACACCCCCCTTCTTCCGTCCCGGCGACGCATGGGTAAAACCATGCGGACACCCCTTCGCTAACGTCCACTTATACCTGCCCACCTCGAAGTCCTCCTCCTGCTCAACCCCTACTCTATCCTCCAACCCGGCCAACCCGTGGATCATCTGCTGCGCCTCCAACCGGAGCATATCCCACTGCGCCCCAATCATATAAATCCACGGCGGCAGCTCATCCCTCCCCGCATACACCGGACTGAGTAGCGGATCCCTCCGGTTTTGCCCTACACTCACATACCCCCAGTCCAGCCACCAGGATGTGCTTTCCAGCGTCTCCTTCGGACCACCTTTATACGGTCTCGAATCCAACTTTTCATTAGGTGGGTGGCCGAAATCCACGATGGGGTAGTATATCACCGCTGCTTTGATCAGGCCTTTCAGACCGGGGAATTGCGAGACAGATAGCGCGAGGTTGCCGCCTGCGCTGAAGCCGCCGATGGCGATGCGCGAGTGGTCAATTGGGAGGGAATCATCTGCTAGCACGCACTTGACTACATCGGCAATGTCAAAGGTGGCTGTTGGGAAGGGGTGGAGTGGCGCCTTGCGGTAGTTGAGGCTGACAACTAGCATTCCGGTGCGATTGGCCCAGGCGCTGCAGAAGGGGTCGTCGACGGTGGCGTCGCATAGCGCAAAGCCGCCCCCGTGGATGTTTAGGTAGAGGGGGAGCAGTTGGCGCTGGGCGGAGTTGTAGGTGCGCGGGTAGAAGATGCGGGTTTCCAGGGTTGGGCGGCAGGCATAGCGCTTGGTGAGGGTTGGTTGGGTACCTGGTTGAGGGGGGTGAATGAGGCGGACGTAGAGGAAATAGAGGCTGGCGAGGGATTTGAAGAGCCAGAGTTGGAGGAAACAGTTTAGGCGGTGGGGGAGGGATAGTCGCTCTTTTGGGAGAGGAGAGATGAGCTTTTCCATCGCTATTTCGTCCTTATCTGGATTCTCGATCATTATGCTGGGCAGTGGTGAACGGAAGACTCGACGTGTTGGCGGAGCAGGATCAGTCATGAATCTGTTGGGATATAGCGAGAGTGACTAGTACGTGTTTGTCATAGCATTAGCAGTACGACTCTCTCTGTTGGGCTTGTCGAGTTCTTCGTTTTATGAACTCTAGGCCCGCACCAAGCTTTTTTTCCACCGGTCTCGATTCAGCCTCGCAAAAAAGGATACCAATAACATCGTCGCATCTTACTTCTCTCCATATGTATTTCCGTGACCAGACTATCTGCGGAGACTAATGTGCTGAGAGTGGGTTTGGCCCCAAAATTCAATTAACTCAGGTCCACACCGAGTCGCCCCGAACTGTTCGGGCCGAAGTGCTCTGAACCACAAGGCTTGGCCCGAGCCGCAGAAGGATTGTCCATGGATCAGCGTTACATATTGCACAGTATTGTAGGCTATTTCTTGCTTTAGTACAAGAAGAAACAACAATTTGCAGCGCTCCGGACAGACTGAGCTTCGTATCGGGCTGAAATTCCCGAGCAAAGAAAGAAGTTGCGCACGGCAGGTTTTAGACGCCATCGCGCCAACCAACCAGGCAGAGAATTAGGAATATAGTATTATATTAATAGGTAATCCATACCTATTAATGCCTTCTAAAATAGGTACTAAATAATACTATTCCTCCCGATATAAATCCTAGAATTCCTTTATTTCTTATTATACTGGTTGAACTAAACTTAGTATATACTTTCGAATTTCCTAAGCTTAGAGGCGCCTTTAAATAGTATAATTAGCGGATTAAATACTATAGGTAGTTTATAGAGATATACATATAATATATGTCTAAAAAGACTATCTAAAAAGACTATCTATACCATACATTGCTGTACACGAGATTTCTGTCAAATTATATAGGTTGGCGCGATGGCGTCTAAACCCTGCCGTAGAATGGTTTCGTTTCATTGTTAGGATGGCACCATTGAAAGTGCCTATATTAGAGGTCAGAGCAGCGAATAGGACTTGCTGTCCATGCAAGGGAATTAAACTCGGAATTGTCCTGATTCCACAATAAATTAGGCCACTATGAAGCCGATGTCCTTCCAGTCATTCAACTTTGTCCAGTTATTGTTCAGTTGTGCACGGAAAACCCCCATCGGACCCCCGATACATCTCTCCGATCCCGATTCATGGGTCAGGAGCGGATCGGAGCTATGCAAACCCCGATAGTCCTATCGCCCTCGAGGTCCTTAACACCTGTTGTTCTTTCTCTCCTCCCCTTCCTATCGGACTATACAAATTACCCCTTGCCTCCTATGAATGTCAGAGAAGGATTATCTGCCTCCGTCCCGTGGGTCACACACCGGATGGCGCTAGCGCAACAGCCGATCTCCTTGAACCTAGGGCTTTTCGAACAGCCTATAGATCCGCACACCTCCAGCGATAATGACAATACTAATACCAATTCAGAAAATGCAGCCATACGCTTAGATAAGCCGGCGCGGGCTTGCATAAATTGTGTGCGAGCAAAAGCTCGATGCCACGCGAGCGTAGAGAAGAGGGGAAAGTGTGAAAGGTAATATTCTCGGTGGATTTCTTTCTCGTCACTAACAATAGCCGGCAGATGCCACCGCATGAAGAAGGAATGTCTGCCGTCCCCACCGGTGCGCAAGCGCCGTATGGCGACAAAGATATCGGGGGATAACAAGGTAGAGAGACTAGAGGAGAAAGTGGATGGGCTCGTCGCCCTACTCAAATCTGTGACTCAGGATGCTCCGAGCTCCTTCAATGCCTCGGGTATCAACTCCGTACTGGGAAGCCTGATACAAGCCAGTTCCAGCAGCGAAGCGGATGGGGTGATAGCGGACAACAGTCAACATGTTGAATACCCATATGACAGATCTGGGGTGAACGGAAGAATGGAGGGCCCCTTTACCCCCACAGCCTCATCTTCGTCCAGGCTCAAATCCACGAACCAACTACCATTTCTTATCCATCCCTATCTCGAGCCTAGCGCAGAAGAGGCTGCAGCTTATTTAGTTAGGTTTCGAAATGAGTTCCAGGGTCACCTGCCTTTTCTCCAGGTTTCCTCATCGATGACTGCCCAACAACTCCGCCAGGAAAGCCCGCTGCTCTGGTTAAGCATAATGACAGTGGCATCCACTCGCTCTACTCAACAGATCATGCTATCAAAAGAGGTCCGTGGGGTCTTTGGGCGTGAAGCGTACATTGAGGGGACGAGGAACATGGATTTTCTTTTGGCTGTTCTGGTGTACACCACCTGGTAAGCCCACGTTACAGAGACATTTGCCATAATCTTGCGATAAAGCCTAATAACGGCTTTTTTTCATTTACTGTTCAGGGATAGGCACTATTGCCTCGATAGGTCTATTTCGACCAGTCTCGTCCAGCTTGCCATTGCTATTTTGTATGACTTGGGATTGGACAAACGCCCGCCACAGGATCCCGGTGTAACACTAGCCTACGTACTGAAAGGGTGTAAACTGTCTCAATTTACGCGCTCTCCAACATCCGAAGAGCGCAGAGCATTACTGGGATGTTTCCTAATTAGCACAGTGTAAGTAGGCAACGAGATCCACTAAATCTTTGTTCGTGTCTAACTGTAATAGACCAACTTCTTGGGGGAAGGGGCAAAGCCTGCAATGGACCGCATATTTTGACGAGTGTGTTCATGTTCTTGAGGAGCAGAAAGAGTTGGCTTCCGACCTCCTTCTTGTCCAACTGGTAAATCTACGCTCTCTTTCAGAGAATGTCTCGGACCATATAGGGCTAAGCGCAGCTTCCGGGATTCATACGATGAGACCCCAAGCTACAGTCTACCTCAAATCGCTGGAGGCACGAATGCGCAATTTGAAGTCTAATATCCCGCAAGAGCTCAACAGAAATAGTAAGTAAACTCATTTTATGCTGGGCGCCTGGCTAGTGCACGCACTGTATGTGTTGGTAGTTTACTGACATCATATGTGACTATATAGGAGTTCTGTTGCTGGAAATCTACAATACCGAGCTCATGATCCATACAATTGCACTCTCACCTGGAGTAAATACATTCCCTGGTCAACCCAATCAGCGCTTTGAGTGCATATATGCATGCTTGCAGGCAGTCAAGTCCTGGCTAGGCACATTTTCCATGATCCAGCCCGTGGAATTTGTGGGATTTTCGTCACTCATGTATGCGAACATGATGCGCTGCTTTATTGGAATTTATCGCCTCGCAACGTGTAACCATCCGGAATGGGACCGAACCCTGTTACATGAAGCGGTAAACCTTTCACGGGCATTTGAGGAGGCAAGCAACAGCTTTGATCGTGTGAAGGAAGTGGCGGGGCTGGATCCGGATGGTTCACAGGCACAGGATTCTTTCAGCGTTATGGCAACCAAGCTTCGATCTATGAAGATGTCGTGGGATGCCATGCCAACACTGTTACCGCCGCCCTCTATTGACGAACTTGAGAATTTTACCAGCGAATTCCTGGATACTTGGAACTGGTAAAGGTTAGGGCTCAGCACTATAATGGCCTAGTGTATGTGTATTTTTAATTAAATGATGCTGGAAATGGATCGAAGAACAAGATAGATCATAAAAGTTTACATGAGATTGACGAAGCTAGTCTTTTCTTTGTCAAAGGAGCTTTCAGACATTCCCATTTTTTTTATATACTCCATCTCCGTTCCGACTCGAAAAGAGGGCGGAGGCAAGTCAAATGGCCTCAGTCCGGTGTTATAAGAAATCCCATGAGCCTCCAATGTTGGAATGCTATTCCTGTTGATTGATTGAAATATAAAATGATGAATATAGTTCAAGTGTTTTAGCCTGTTATCTTCCGAACCTCACTGCGCTTCGAATCCAGCATCTGTACATCTCTATCAATACTAGGATGCCCTTTAGTCCCAACTACGATGTACCCAAACTCAACAGGAGGGTGATTCTTGTCACCGGAGGGAACTTCAGTCTAGGTAAAGCCGCGGTCATGGAACTCTGTCGCTATCAGCCAGCTGAGGTCTGGCTCGCAGCTCACAGTCTCAACAAGGTGGGTCAAACCTAATTTATATCTCAACTAGTCCCAACAGGTATATCCTTTGAAACTACGCAACTCCACTAAGTCAACAATGGAGAGAGAAAGTGGTGGGAGAGGGAAATCCAAATTATGTATCAGCAATTCGGGAAATGAATGGTTATACGTCCATAAAATTGAATGAATCTTCATTGGATCTGGGCCACAAATTATTTAGTAAGACTTCCACTGGGTATGATTTAGACTCCGTTCTCTTCAGTGCCTGTATCCTTTTTCCTCTTTATATTCGTCCATCCCATTCCAAATGCAAACAGAAAGGCACCCCCAGCGCCGGCGACCGCAAGGTACATAACATGGACAATGGCTTGATTATAGGCTAGCAATACACTTGGCAAAGCTTTGGCCGATACAATGTTCCGAATCCCTGCAGCGCCGGCCGCGATAATAGTCTCTGAGCCAGTCTGTGGGGAGAGAGCCTTGAGCTCTGATTTCAAGCCTGCACTGAAGATGACCTGAGAGAGAGACAAGAAAATGGCACCTCCAAAGTTCTGCCCGAAAACAACAAGCGAGGTCACAATCGAAACTTGCTCCTTCCGCGTGTTATTTTGTACTGCGAGGAGAGGAATCTGAAGCCCAAAGCCGCGACCAACACCTTGCAGGATCAGAAATCCTATCCATCGACCCGCGGAAGTGGTGGGAGTGAGTGTGATCAGAAGCCCTGTTCCCAGCATTGTGAGAGCTCCGCTGGCTACCGCGAAGGGTAGATAGTATCCCAATCGGCCCACTGCAGAACATGTTAGTATTTATCAAATTTGTGCCCAAACGTGGCGAAAGATCACTTACCAAGTACCCCTGTGATCATGACTGAAATCATGGTCCCCAAAATGGAAGGAAGGAGATCCACTCCACTCATGGTCGGAGTGGCACCTCGGACAGCCTGAAAATACATCGGCAGGTAATATGTAGAATTCAACAAACATCCGGCGAAGAAACCATAATTCATGCAGCTGGCCCAGATAACTCGCTGGCTCATGATGGAGAAGGGTATCATAGCACCATCTTCCATGTAGTACTCCCACGCTGCAAAGACAATCAGCAAGGCCCCAGAGCCACAGAAGAGTCCAATAATTGTGGAACTATTCCATGCATAAGAGCTACCACCCCAATTCAAAGCTAGGAGAACTTGGATGGCGGCTCCAGCAAACATGGCGAAGCCTAGTAAATCGAGCCTTTTGAGGGAAGAAACTAGCGTTTGGCCCTTATGCTTTGTACCGTCATGACCTGGAAGCGGCGTAAAGATCAGAAGAGGCCCTACTATAGCGGCGCAGGGAAGGTTGATGTAGAAGCCTGGAATAAATACGTTAGCTCTCTACATACTCTCAGCGGGTCAACGAGGAAGGGATGCATACACCACCTCCAAGATGCATGTTGAGTCAATGCACCTCCAATTAGAGGACCACACAGCAATCCGAGCTGGGAAATGCCCATAAGAATTCCAGTGAGAGCTATGGGTATGGTTTTAGCGGTTGAGACTCCTTATGGTCCAGAGCGGTGGACATACAAGCTTGTCTTTCTGGTGGAACACTCGCATGAATAATTGTGTATGCTCCATTGAGCAGGCCAGATCCACCCATTCCAGCAAATGCCCGGCCGATAATGAGCATGTTAGAGGATGTGGCTGCACCACAAAGGATAGAGCCCAGCTCGAAAATGGCGAAGAAGGAAAGGAATGTCCACTGCTCATCAATCGAGTTAGTGTCTATCGCACAAAGACAGGAGAATAGTCAGGGAATACTACCTACCTTATTATTAAAGTAAGTGTACATTTTCCCTGTCAGGGGTTGAAGAGCACAGCTAAAGTCACGGGTATTAGCAGGGCATGAGAGACAGTGAGAATCATTCGTATCTAGGTAGCGTACTTAGACAAAAGGTATGCGGTTCCATACCAGCCGACGTCAGCCAGGGAGTGAAAAGTGGTTGTGATTCTCGGAATCGCCTGAAAATCCAAATTATTTTGCATCAGTCGCGTTGCTCCAACCTCAAACGAGGCAGGAAGAGGGGGTGCAAGGCAGACAACCTGATACTTACCGTAGACACAATAGAGGTATCTAGAAGTATCAAAAATCCGACGAGGGTGAGCGAGGTCATAGTACTCAGCAGGCCCAGTCCTGTCAGGTATTCGGTCCTGCCTGCAACCCAACCCGTTTCCGTTGAATCCTTTGCGTGAGCTGCTTCAGAGCCTGCGGTATTTGTCTCCAGTGAAGGGGCTGACGAGATATATCCAGCCCTATCTGTGTTGGCATCGTGTGCTTTTTCCTCCATCTTCGAAAATTCCGAACCTCGAATGATAACCAAGGTTTGGGTAGAATCAAGAAGCAGTAAGTACTATATATATCCAAGTGAATGTAAACACCCACTAGTATGGTCTATGTTCATGGCTTGGGATCGGATCGGAGCTTCGAATTTCTCTCCGCTCCGACTATTAATCTTACGACTATCGTAAAGGCCGATCGAGACAAAGAAAGACGGAGGTACTTGCTTCCAATTCCCCGAGATGCCAAATTATTCTATTCCAGATCCCCGGTCTGATGGCAATGCCTGTGTCCGAATCCCTACCCATCTCTACCCTGCTCCGGTCACAAGGCGGGCCGACACCACAAATATCAATCGGGTCGTGGCCCAAGCCGCTCGAGATGCTCTCCTTCATATTCGACGATATGTACATGATCCTATTATGTGGGTGCATAGAATGGTCAATAGACTGCAAAGTTGTGAGGACTTTCGGGGCTCCAATAAATTTCCTCATTTTTTCCCTTTCACTTTCTTGTCTCTTGTTCCCCCCTGCTGAAGTGAATCTATACAACTTGATCTACACAAGTACAGAATAGTGATGACAGAGCTTTGAGCCTGTATTTTCTAGAAAAGAACTTTTGTTCTATTTGGGGAAAAAAAAGTAAGTGGGCCATTCAAATAGCTCCCCCAATGAGGTCCATTAGCGGATAATCGCTGCCCGTTGCCCAGGCGATCGTGTCTCCGATGATGTCTGATTTAGTAGAGACAGGTCAAAATCCCACATTAACACATGTACAACATATAATTAATATTTCTGAATGCTCCATCTCAATCAATTTTCGCTAGCATTCACGTATTTACCATTCTGCCATTCTGCCATTCTACCAGTCTACCATACGTTGTAACGCTACAACGTCGGGTTGCATTGTTACTGATTCCTTCAAAGCTGTACCAGGTGATCTTATCGCCGCCAAACTGGCCATCTTCGCCGTACAGACAAACCAGATCCGGCACATCGTCGGAAAATTAGACGCTTAGAGGCAAGGTACATCGAGCGATTTACTTGTTTTGCTTTTCTAGACAACTTGTTTCATCATCTTTGTCCTTGTATCACGCGCAGAAAACGAAAGACCATGCTTTTTCGATCTATCCTCTTCGCAGCTTTGTCCGGGCTTCCCCTCGTTGCCCCAGCTGCCCTCCCAAAGCACGGCAGCTCCTTCGAACTGGTCGACGGTCCCTTCTTCACCTTCCACTATAAAACCGATCAACCCTCGGAGAAGAATTGGATTGGTATCTACAGTATTTATGGTGAGGGCCCTGGCAAAGAAAACTCCATATATTGGGACTGGATGCGCGAGTCAGAAGAAACCAAGCGAATTGATGACGCTCATTTCAACTGGGGCGCCTATAAAGCATACTTCCTGGCCGATAGTGGGTACACAGTGCTTGCCGGTCCCATTGACATTTTCCTTTCCGGAGATGGACCTATATCATTTAATGTTAAAGAATTTACGACTAAGAATGCCCGTGAGGGAAAGAAGTTCGAAGCTCGTGTGAATGGCCTTTTACACCACGCCCCAGACCCCAACACCAAATACAGCAAGGAAAACTCTGACGCCGACTGGGTCAGTGTATCCGAGGATGGTATCATTTCCGGAATCCCCAGCGGCAGCGGTAGCTCTAAAATCACTATTAGGGCTACTGCTTCCGACAAATCTACTGCCACCATCGACGTCACTGTTCCAGTAGTTGCCTCTGGTAAACCCCTTGTCACTGAGCTCAAAGTGCTATCCCTCAATCTTTGGTACGGAGGCACCAAGGTCAACGACTACAACCGCAAACAAATCTCAGCCATTGCCAACTCTGGTGCTGACATCGTCGGTCTCCAAGAAAGCACCCACGGCCATGCAACTCAGATTGCAGACGCGCTTGGTTGGCAATCATGGCAGGGTGGAGACTCCAGCATTATCAGCCGTTATCCCATATCCAAAAAGTATGGCGCAGTCACCGAAACCAGTGTTGCTGTCCGAGTCGCTCTCGACGGTGACAATAATCAGATCATCCTCCATAACTGCCACCCTTACGCCTATCCCTATGGGCCTTATGATCCTTGCTTCGATGGAAAAGGTGCGGACGCTATAATGGACACTGAGAGGAGGGCCAGCCGTGCCCGCCAGATTCAAGACATTGTCGGCGCTATGACGGACGCCCTCGACAACGCCGACAAAGTCCCCGTACTTCTTACCGGGGACTTCAACGCGCCCTCTCACCTCGACTGGACCGATGCGACAAATTCCTCTCACTGCGGTATTGGGCAGTTTGACTGGCCCACCTCTAAGGTGCCTATTGACGCCGGCTTGACCGACGCCTACCGCGAGCTCCATTCAGATCCTGCCGCTGACCCCGCCAACACTTGGTCTCCCATCTACCTTAACAATGACGACTACAATGGCCACAAGGAGCCCATGGACCGCATTGACTTTGTCTACTATAAGGGAAACCTGACTCCCAAGAAGGCCGAGACCTATATGGTGGGCAACCCTAAGCCCGAGCCGGACCACTCCGATAACGAGTGGCCTACCGATCACAAGGGTGTCCTTGTCACGTTCAAAATTTTAACTCAACCTAAAATCCAAATACATGGGGTTTTAAGTTCCAGACCTTCCGCCTTTTGAGGTATCTGGATCAGAAACCCGAGATCCCACTTCTTATTCTCCTTGCGCAAATAGAGACCTATCTTGCAACGAGTCAAAGGCCCTTCACTCGAGGAGTCGTACATATGTAGAGTTGGAGAAATCAAAAGAGAGAAAATATACCAAATAACAACTAGCCAGGAAACTATACCATCAATTGAAACCAAAGCAAGGGAGGAAGCAGAGCGAGAGAGAGAGAGAGAGTGATAAGTGAGAGTTAGAAGATAGAGGGTACACCCTATAATAATCATTATGTGTTAATTTCTTATGTATAGGTATAGGTTTGGGTGTGTGGGGTTTACAGGATACAGGAACGGGCTGATTCCACACTCTTTAAGGTCATCATCTGTATACTCTTGGGGTTCACTAGTGGCCCTGACGCAACTAGTTAGACTGCAACAGATTAATTGAAATTTGATTGATTGATTGATTGATCCTGGGCTTCATGGTGATATCCGATCAACATAGCTTGTAGGTCAAGGCCCAATTCCTTGAAGTTTAGAGAGCGCCGAATACTGTCTCTAAACTGCTCACTCTTAGCGAAGAGTCGAGGGTCCCATGTGAATCTGGATTTCGAAGGCGGAAGATGGGCTTCTCGTTTTACAGCTTGTTTGGTTGCGAGGTCGGTTTCCTGGTCTTTCGAGACCTCTTCACCCCGGATCCATTTCAATCGGATTTCAATGGGTGGGAGGTTATCACTGGCGAAGACCTTCTTAACACTGGAGAGGCCGGAAACTACTTTCCGAGTAGGCACTTGCATCCAAGACGGTGCATGTGCCTCGCTCATAGTAGTTTCATTCTCTATGCCCTGTAGTGTGGCGAACCATGTCTTCCAATTCGTTTTGTGGAAGCCACTTCATGACCTCCCAGTACCGGTTATAGGGCTCAAGGTGGCCTTCGCCCTTATCAGTGAAAGGGCCAAGGTTTGGGGCTGGGAAACGCTTCATACCCGACGGGAATGAAATAGTGACTTTCATCTTATTATCCTGGTGTCTTTCGATGAAGCTTTGTTGTTCCTGTGCTGACTTCTCCATGTTCTGCGCATCGGTAGCATTCTTGTACCATTCGATGTTCTCTACCATCTTGTAGAGACACCATGCTGCAATTTCCTTCTTTTGTGAGGATTGATGTTTCTTGGTATCATCTGCACTCCCTCCCCCTCTTTCTAGACCATTAATGGGCCGGTTGTGGCCGTAGAAAGTTCCTGTCAAATTGCAGGCTAGTCTAATGAGGCAAATGGCCCAGGCCTCGACATGTTCTTGGAGACCGGCGCAAAGTCGCAGGTAGAATAGGCCAAGAGATAACAAATGGGGGGTCGAAAGTGTTTTTGAACCCCAGATGCTGCCGTCTGAGACTCATGTTCTTCTAGGCTTATCTATTCTCCTCGACCGATTTTGTTGCTCGTGCGAATTTGAGATCTTTACGAGTCATTCGTACCTGTGAATTGTGATAGGATGGTTAGAATGCGCTCTCAATCTGTCTTATAACTCACTGCTCATACTTTCTTTGTGGACGATTCCGAGGAAGCAGCAGGGCGCTTTCCTCTATGTTTCCATTGTTTTGAAACTGGTTCAGCAATGGAAGCGAGAGGTTGAAGAAAATGACTGGGGGATGAGAAGAAAGAAAGGAAGAAAGTGGGAGGGGCAGGTATTCATATCCTGGCAGTGGCTTAAGGGTCAACAATGTTTGACAAAAAGGGAAGGCACGACGTAACAATGGGACGAATTGCCGGCACATAACTCTCTCATTGCTAAGCAAATTATGTAGTTATTAGCAACAAGAATACTCAGCCGTATTTGCGGCCCTCTGACGTCTTTTCGAATGTCTTTGAGATGTCCTTGAGATGTCTTTGAGATATCTTTGAGATATCTTTTAGATAAAGCAAAAAGCCGAGAATGGAGGAGTATTAATAGGTTGGAAATATAATATAAAAGAGGAGGAGAAACTGAGAGAAGGGATAAAAGAGAAAAACTAAGAATGGAGGTGTCAAAGTGAGGTTGGGAGCCTGGCTTTTGCTCTCACTTCTAGTATGCTAGTTCTCATATAAAGTGAGGGGAGCTAGGTATGAACTTTGTAAGTTTTATTGGGGGCTCATATGAGCTCATCGTCGCTTGAGCACTAATAAAAACAGTTCTTTCGCGAAATACACATCGGGCTATAGTGCCTTGAAAATGCAATACGCTGTAATAACCTCAGACCAATATAAAGGGTTCATAGCTATCTAATGAAACAAATCAACATCTTAGAGTTTTATTTTCAAGTTCCATCCACCCCGAAGAACCCTCAAAGTCGTCCAGCATAGCAATCCTAAGCCATAGGCGAGTCCAGCAAGGATTATCAACGCCCTGTACGATGCATTTGGTAGCTGAAGGAGCAGACCACCTACGGGGATACCGATGAGAGACCTGAGGTGAGCAGTAAATTAGCAAAAGTAAGAAATCTTCTAGAAATACAGCCATACCCAATGCTAGAAAATGCAAACAAGGTCCCAGAAACCTCTCCATAGTTCTCTCTCTTGCACAGTTGGGACATACAAACAGGTGCTAGGCTTATTGATGATCCGCTGCAGAAACCAAACAGGATAACAAATAACCAAAGGACACTGGGATTGGCCTCTGCAGGAAGCCAAATACCAAGGATGGAGGCAGTGGATAAACCAAGAATGATTATTTGCGTGTTAAACCATCCAATATGATCACCAATAAACCCAGCCACACAGCGACCGAGCAACGAACCACAACTCATGGCAGTGATAAGATAATAGGCAAGTGATAGTGACATATCATGGTTCAAGGCATACGAAGTAACATATGTCATCGGGATGAATATGCCAACTTCTCCGAGAAGAAGTCCGAGAGCCATGAGAAAGGGTTGAAGGTCAAGTAAGAGTCGAAGACTAGGCATGGCTTTCCAACCTTTTGTTCTCAGGCTTTGGCGATGCTTGCCGCTCAGAGCTGGGGTTTTCATGAGAACGACGGCAGCAATTTCAAATGGCAGAAGAACGACTGACACTGTCAGGGTTGTCCTCTGAAAACCAATCTTCGGCAATATCGAGCTGATTATAAGAGGTAGCACAATTCCGCTGGCGCTTCCACCGGATATCGCAAGGCCCATGGCAAGTCCGCGTCTATGGAAGAACCAGCGCTGGATAGTACCAATGGCGCAAGTGAAAAGAACACAGGTACCTATACCTCCGAGGACACTGATGCAGAAGAAAAACTGCCAGTAAGTCCTGCAAAAGCCTAGAAGGGTATATTGAGCTAGTAGAAAGACAGGCCCAGCCGCACAGAGCGGACGAGGGCCATAAGAATCAAAAGCCGGACCAATGAAGAGGCTTGCCACAAATGTTAGGAAATTGTAGAAGCCAAAGATCCATCCAATCTTTCCAGCTCCTTCGTCCCGTAACTGATGCGAGGCGATCCAGGAATGGTATACGCCAATTGAATTCATGAAGGAGAGGGCGGAAAAGAAGGCGCAGAAGCAACCAAAGACCACAAGCCATGCTTTCAGCCCACCATCGGGATAAGAGTATTCCGACACATCTTCAGGGCACGCTGCCCCAATCTGGGATCCAGGTGATGGAGGAAGGAGGTTATCGCTTGGTGATTGAGGGTCGATTGTCCCATAACCATGAGACCTTTTTCCATGTCGATTGACCTCCATAACTCTTCTGTAAGAGTCGCAAAAATGGGTCAAGATAGTAAACCTTTCCGTAGTAGATATCCAAAATTCGTTATTCTTTTGAAGTTAGTAGGTCAGACTATAGTTGCATAATGAGCCTGTATTTTCTCCTATCACCCGGAGAGCAAAAAAAAAGGTCAATTGAGAGGGTGTTGAGATATTGTCCTATTAAGAATTGTTCCGATGTGAATGCGGAATGGCGGTCGCGATAAACTCGAAAATGGGTCTCAAATGGTTTCATAGACGACTGTCTCACATTTCAAGATATGGCAAATAAGATGATCGGATAGATTCATACAAGTACTTTGTCTATCCTACGCTCGATTTTACTTGTTCGCATTACATTGTTTCCTAGGGAATTACCATCTACCATCATCATGCCTCAGACAATTCCTCTGAAGTAAATGCAGCAACGTCCTTTTACAGAAACCAACGTTAATATATTCAAGCGTGTAGCTCTCTTATCATTTTTTTTACCCCTACAAGTTGATCCGTTCAAACAGAAACGAAACAACCTTGGAAATTGTCCAATAAAAAATTGTTCCGTTCTCTTCCCCCACTTCTACAGTAGACATATAAACTATCATTTTCACGAGAATCGAAGGCCTAACTGAAAATTGAATTCAAGATATTTATACTCTAGAATCTAGAATAAAGCTAACGAGCCTATAGAACTAGGCATCCATGAAATATAGCATCTAATCGCCTGATCCCACCATTTTTTCTTCTGCAGCAAGCTCCACTGCTGTTCTAAAGTCGATGGATTTAAACATATCTTTCATGGAAATGAAACGACCTGATAAAATTCTCAAAGATGACCCTGGTGATCTTTGAATGACCACCAGGTCCGAAATCAGCCCGAAGTTCCATCGGTAGGCTCTCATGGTAGCACATCACATCGCCTAAGACTGTAGGATTAAGCAGCATTGAGCGGAGCGAGAATGCTTTAGGGGTTTGCTTCAATTGCTCCTTTCCTCTTTCCGATAACTTTGCCTGCAGCTAAATATATTCTTCCTGGGTGGTCTGGGGTTTGCGCCCAGCACAGCCAATTGCTCATTTTCGATATCTCCATCACAGCATCCGAAATTGTCGGAACTTGAAGGTCTTTCCGAGATAAAATCCGACCTATCAAGCGAAGTATCTCCGCAGATCCCCTGTTGGTTGTGGGGTAATCTAGAGTACATAGCCCTAGCGCTTCCCCCACATTCTCCGACTTTCTTGGTTGATAAGGGCTGGGGTTCATAATGGGGAATAAAAGTCATCAAACTCGCATTCCTGATCTGAATCTCAAAGCTCATCATGACCCATATACCGCCAGCTAAAGAAGACCATGTGGATGTCCTCATTGTTGGTGCCGGGCCAGCGGGGCTTATGCTAGCCAACTGGCTAAGTCGCTGCGGAGTCAAGACCCGTATAGTGGACAAGCGTGGCTCAAAGGTATACTCCCGTACAAATATGAACACTACCATGTCGTGTACTGACTCTAATACAGGTCTTCAACGGCCAGGCGGACGGTCTGAAATGTCGCACTCTGGAAATCTTTGACTCTTTTGATTTCGCCCACCGGGCATGGCGCGAGGCAAACCATATGTTAGAGATTTGTCTTTGGAATCCTGACAAAAATGGGCGTCTTCAACGGAGTGACCGCATCCCCGATACCATTCCTAGAATTAGTCGGTTCCAACAGGTCGTACTGCACCAGGGTCGCATCGAGCGTTTCTTCCTCGATTCAATCAAGGAGCATAGTGACATTCGTGTTGAGCGCGGAGTGTTGCCCACGTCGTTCGATTTCGACGAAGCCAAAGCAGGCGATTTCGAGGACTACCCTATCAGTGTTAAACTTCACACCTTGTCAAAGGAAGAATCCACGCCTCAACAACGGCAGCAGCATCAGAAATCTTCTGATGGTCAGCAGATAGTGGTCGAGGATGGACTTTTCCGAAGTAATCTAGTTGCTGATGACACGGAGGACCTTATCCAGGCGACAGAGGCCAAGGACAATCAAACTCCCAACCGAATGGAGCACATAAAGGCCAAATTTCTGGTCGGCTGCGACGGTGCCCACTCATGGGTGCGCCGTCAGGTTGGCTTTAACTTGGAAGGTAGCTCAACCGATTATATCTGGGGTGTGCTCGACATTGTTCCCATCACGGATTTTCCAGATATCCGCCATCGATGCGCCATTCACTCTGCGAGTGCGGGCAGCTTAATGGTGATTCCCCGCGAGAATAAACTTGTTCGACTCTACATCCAGCTTCAGGCGACAGATGTCCAGAAGAATGGCTCCAAAGCTGACCGGTCCTGGATCACCCCCGAAATCATCCTGAAATCTGCCCAGTGTATCGTGCACCCATATAAGCTTGATTACGCGTATTGTGACTGGTGGACTGCGTACCAGATTGGACAGCGAGTGAGTGACAAATTTTCGCAAAGCGATCGTGTGTTCCTGGCAGGTGATGCTGTCCATACGCACTCTCCCAAGGCTGGACAGGGTATGAATGTCAGTATGCAGGATAGTAAGTTTTCAACCTTGACGTGCTTGGTCTTAATACTCACATTTCGAATAGCGTATAACTTGGGATGGAAGCTCGCCCATGTGATAAACGGCTTGAGTGAACCGGCAATTCTTCAAACTTATGAGTCTGAGAGGAAGCAAATCGCACAGGACCTGATCGCTTTCGATCACCGCTTTTCGCGACTTTTCTCCGGACGCCCGGCCAAGGATATCATGGATGAAGAGGGTGTCAGTATGGAAGAATTCAAAAGGGCATTTGAAAAAGGAAACGAGTTTGCAAGCGGCATAGGTGATTTTCCTACAGTATTTGATGGGGTCTCTAATACTAACCTCCATCTCTTTAGCTGTCAACTATTCTTCCGGTATTCTCGTGGCGAAGGAAACGGATGTCGCAGAACAAGGCAATAGCATGATCATCAGCAAGCCAGAGCTGGCTGCAAAGATTGATATCGGAAAACGTATACCTAGTTTCAAGGTTTTGAATCATGCCGATGCACGCCCATGGCATTTGCAGGAGCTACTGAAGAGCAACGGGCGCTGGCGATTGATAGTTTTCCCCGGACGACTCACCGAGCCCCAAAATATGGAGCGATTCGAAAGATTAGGCGCCCTTTTGGGGGGATCGAATTCTTTCATTCGCCAGTTCACACCTCCAGACAAGCCTATTGATAGCGTGATCGAGGTTTTGACGGTTCATTCCGGATCACGGACAGATATCGAACTTCTTGATCTTCCGGAAGCGTTCCACCCCCACCACGGTGACATGGGATGGGATTATTGGAAAGTCTTCGTCGACGAGAAGTCTTATCATGAGGGACATGGTCAAGCCTATGCCAATTATGGCATCGATCCGAATCGCGGTGTTAGTGTCATTATTCGCCCTGATCAGTATGTAAGCTGGGTCGGAGAGGTCGATGACTATGAGCAGATGTCGCGGTTCTTCAGTGGCTTCATGAAAAAGCAGGTATCCGGGAACTATGCCTCATAGAGGATGGGAGCAACCAGCAAATACTGGATCACCTGATCCATCACCCTATATAAAGAAAGTCATACACAGCGTCCTAGCCTACGTATATCCTTCGAGCTAGATAAAACATTTATTTCATACCATATTTGCTAGCAACAAAGAATTCAACCCAACAAAATCAACAAAATAGGCCACAAGCACCAGCAGTCAAAGTGCCAAACACACCAACAGGCGCCATGCCCTGGGCATAACCCAAAGCAAGCATCCCAGTAGTAACCCCAGTACAGCCAACATCACAAAACCAACTACTTTTACACTTGACCTCAAAAGAAAGTTGGGACTGGATGGAATTATCATGAGTGATAACAATCTGTCCACTCCTCGGATACTTATACCCAATCCAGTACGTCGGAACTCCCCACTGCTGCGAGTACGTGGTCTTCTCATACCAAGACTTTGAAATCTGAGGGCCAGCAGTACCATGCAAGAACTTGGCGATAGCGTCGCTGCGAGACTTGGCGTCATTCTTCTCCCCGGCAAACATACAATTGTAAGATATTGTGCAAGAATCAGAAATAGCAAAATCTGTTTTCCTGCATCCATTCCCCTCAATAGCATCATAAACACTATGAAAAGCGTCGCTCGGATTCATAAGTCTCAGCTTATCCTTGTACAAGTTGGAATTGTCAACGTAGATTGCATCAGATGAGAGAGTCAGTGACGATGTCGTCTTTCCAGCAGGAGGAGCCGGAGCAGGACCCGGTCGAGTCTCGGTCTTATGGTCACAAATGTACGCAGACGCGCATTCAGTCCCATCGTCGAGAATGTAGATCCCGCGCTCGTGGTGGCCACGACATCCAAACCCGTGAGGTTCAAAGGTATGGCCTGCGAGCCCAGCGAATTTATCGTTCGAATCGGGAATTGAGGGATCGATCACGATCGAGAACTCGTCGCCATTTGGCATCTTGCGAATCAATCCTTTTGTTCGCCAGGGATACGACCCGTCCCAGGGAACATCGGTCATCATGTCCGGTGTGACCCATTTCCCTCGTGTCCCCTGGAATGCCCATGGTGCATCGTGGTAATACATGATTTGGCGCGAGGTGGAATCACCGTTGGGTGGGTGGATACCGCAGTCTGCCAGAACGACGCGCTCTTCTGGGCGATACTCGGCCAGGGTAAAGGAGGCGAGAGCGGTGATGGTGAGAAGAATGGTATGCATTTTGGGAGATGGTTGATTTGTCTTGAATGTTGACCTGTGATACAAAAATCAGAATCAGGGTCATTGTCAAGGTACTTATATAGGCAGATTTATTGATATATCGAGAAACGAGCTGAACTATCCCATCGAGCCGCAGTCTGCCATAGCACCTCAAGTTGTCTGCATGCCACCTGAACATTCAGGATTGCATCGGCACCGCCGATGGACTGAGGGAAATTATAAGCGGAGTTTTGATGAAAAAGTCTTGGAATAAGATAAATTAACCTCTGACCTGCAAGCCCTAGAGAACGGTGACCTGTTATCGAAGTTCAGTCAGCTCGGGGACCACGGCCTTTACGGCCTTTTCTGCGGGCGTGTCGTATTGTCGTATTCTTCTGCAGCTTTTTCTGGAGGACAAGTCAATAAGTCATGATATCTAGTGCCACGTCTGGTTGCAAATTTCATACAGATCAGCGCAATCTTCTGATCATCCCACTTGTTTCCCCCTCCAAGGTCTATTTTCACTTCAATCTAGCCTACAGGTGCTATGATATTTTCCTAATACACGTCACTTTTCTTGTATAGTTCTCCATTATCTAGAAATCTTCATGACAAGATAAGCCTGATGTTGAAGTCTGATAGTTTCTTCCCGAAAACCCCCTTGATGTCCCATCTTCAACCGAAATTTTCAATCAGATGTGGTCATGACCACATACACCTTGGAGCGGTAGAGTAATCATCTATATCCCCATCTAAAGCTTCGCCTTCCTGATCCCATTACCCTTGCCCTTCTCCTCAAAATACTCCCTAACTCTCTCCCTCGCAACAGAAACAACCTCGGCATCCTCAACAGTCGGCGGCACACTTACTTCCGCCCCATACTCCCCCTTCACCCCAAGTTCAACAAGCTCTCTAAGAACACGCCTAAGCGTTTTCCCACTCCGCGTCTTAGGAATCATCCCTCGACCCTGTATAATCCCACCTAGCGACGCAATAGCCCCAATCTGCTCGCGGACCAGCGTGTTAACCTCGGCAAATAATTGCGGGCTTGGTGTTGCTGGAAGAGGCCCAGATTCTCCAGGGATGGCGCTAGCTTTAGGCTGGATAAATGCGAAGGGAAGGTGGCCTTTCAGCGGGTCGGGGATGCCGACGACACTTGCTTCGCTGATCGATGGGTGCGAGAGGATTGCTTGCTCAATTGATCCTGTAGAAATGAGTCAGATCATGGCGCTAGGAAGCGAAGAAAAGCAAACTCCTTACCGGTACTGAACCTATGTGCGGCAACATTGATGATATCGTCACTTCGCGACATAATATGCACGTAGCCATCCTTATCAACCATCCCCGCATCACCAGTATCCACCCACCGGCCATTAAAGCGCTTAAGATACCCACGGTAAAACCGCTCCTCGTCCGCGAAGAGAGTCGTGAATGCCGATGGGGCGAGCGGTGGGGCCATAACAATGTTGCCCATTGTACCACGCGGGACTTCACTGCCTTCATCATCGACGATGCGGACATCAAATCCAGGCATCGGAAATCCTGCTGAGCCGGGACGGGTTGTGAGGGGAGAACAATCTGGCCCGGGTGCTAGACTAGCAAGCGCAGCACTCCCATTTAACGCAACACCCGTAATTGGAGAGCCGGATTCAGATGACCACCAGTTGTCAATAACGAGTGCACCATCCGCTGCATACTTATCAAGCAGATCTTGGTATGAGCTAACAATACTCGGCTCGCTACGTTCACCGGCGAGGAAAAGACCACGGAGAGATTTCAATCCTCCGCGCTCCCCGACCTCGCCGATAAACTGGTCGTTCGGGTCATCTTTCCGGATGGCTCGCATGGCAGTGGGCGCCGTGAAGATGGCATTTACACTGTGTTTTTCAACAATGCGCCATAATATCCCTGCATCCGGTGTACCGACGGGCTTGCCTTCAAACATGACGGTTGTGGCACCGACTAGTAGCGGCGCATATAAAATATACGAGTGTCCAACGACCCAGCCCACGTCTGATGCGCAGAACATTGTGTCGCCGGGACCTTTTATCCCGAAGAGGGATTTTATGGAGAGCTCCAGACCCACGGCGTGCCCGCCTGCTTCGCGGACAACACCTTTGGGGAGACCGGTTGTTCCTGTAAAAGGGTGTTAGTGTGCACAGAGCAGATCCGTCGAGAGCTGAACCCTATTCTAAGACCCGCTCACCACTTGTATAGATAATATAAAGCGCGTCCGTGCTCTTGACAGGAACAGATCCAGCCTTTACTCCACGGAACCGTGCACTCTTCACGAGTCTCTGCCAATTACGCTGTCCACCGCGCTTATCAGGCTGGTTCCATCGCAGTTGGTCACGCTGCCAGACAATAACCCTGCTCGGCTTAAAGCTGCTTATTTTGACAGCACCCTCGACGAGCGGTCGGTAGGAAATGGGCCCCTTGGACCCCTCTATTGCACATGATGCCGTCATTATAGCTCTCGGACGCGCGGCCTCGATGCGCTGCGCTAGAGCTTGCGGGGCGAAGCCACCGAAGACGGCGGCATGGATTGCGCCTAAGCGGGTTATTGCTAACGCAGCTATTAGAGCCGCGGGGATGTTTGGCACTAGATGTCATATGTGGTCAGTTATGGATTCCCTGTTTTTAATCCATTCCCCACTTGTGGGGTCATCACGAAGTTGTTGGTTTGCCTACTGTAAATAATAACAACATCGCCCTTCTGTACCCCTTCCTCCCTAAGTACACCAGCAAGAACCTCCACTTCATCGAGTAGGCGGGCATAGGTATACTTCTCCGTTACACCGGTGACAGGTGATTCCCATACGATCGCAGCATTGTCGCCCTGGCCCGCGAGCACATGTCGGTCGACACAGTTGTAAGTTGTGGAGATCTCGCCGTCGGCGAACCACGACCAGTGCTGGTGCTCGGCTCCGCTCGGTAGACACTTTGTCTGCCGTGTTAGGGCACGTGAAGGCTTGTGATGCCAGTGGAGTCTGGCCGCGTGATGAGACCAAAAGGTTTCTGGGTCGCCAAGGGAGTGGGAGTGGGTTGTTGCTTGGGGGTGCGGAGACATGTTGGATGGAATTAGAATTCGGATTGGAATATGATAGGGGGAAGTGGCAAATTTATTGCCAGGAATGTGATTCGATAGAGAAGCTAAGAGAGGAACAAGTTACACGCAAAGGAATAGTTCAAAAGTACTCTAGAGCTCTGAGATGGAGCGTTTTTACCCGAGGGCTTTGGGACCCAAGGGAAGATGGAGAACCAGTTCTGATCGACAAGGCATTTTAGGCTGTCATTTGCGGAGAAAAGAGAGGTGAAGGTCGAGTGAGATCCCCCCGGATGCAGCCGAGGCCAGTCCGTGCATTTCCCCCGCACTTTCTTCGGGTAGAAGATTATCCTTGGAGTGTCCTGGAGAGTGCTCTTAGAGTATACTCAGAGTATACCTCATATCAGTATCATATACAGCTTTTGTACCCTAGTACATCTTCGGATTTTTCAAGTTATTAAGTGAAAAGAAACACCTTTATCAATTGTCTATATCGCATAAATGGCTGAAAAATGAATCAAATAAACAAGCTCAGTCGTAGGGTATCATATCGAAATGCCTGCTAATGCGCGACTGCGATCTTCTGGCTTCGTCGCCTGGGATTTTTTTGGGGGGAGGGGGGGGGTTTCTTTCGGGCTAGCTCCGTGTCCGAAAGATTCCTTCGATCGCAACTTATCAAATAAGCAGAGACCGAAGAAGAGAGACGATCGTCAAGGAAAGAAAAGTAGCAGAAGCTGGTGGAAATCTAGACAGCCAGTCTGCATGCCTCGGCGCATTTCCAAAGAGCAAAACAAAAGCCAAAACAAAAAAAGAATTTGCGCTCCAGGCTTGCAGATACTGGTGGACATCAGTCCCCACGCCAGTTCTCAAGCTCTTCAGAATGCGAGCATAAAAGATGTAGCATGGCAAGAACCACCGACGCCGAATGAGGTAACCAAAAAGATAGATAGAACCACCCTCCAGATGCACCCAGGACCAAAAGAAAGAGAGGAAGAGAGAAAAAGGAAAACAGCCATTATTCCAGGGAGCAAGAAATCCAACGCCTCGCGGACGGACCCGGCCGATCACAAGAGAGTACACTGGAGCCGACTGCGATGTCGCGAGCGGTCGGGTCGGAAGGACTTGGGATATTCGGGGCCTGCGTCGCGATCGCGGTGGCCCGATCCGAAGCCTGTCGGACGACGATCTGCGCCACGGCCACCTGCCGCCTGTTGTCGCTGCTGGCGCAACATGCGGACAACGTCGTAGAAGGCCTTCTCCACGTTGATACAGTTCTTCGCAGAAGCCTCGACAAATTCACATCCTAGCTCCTTGGCCAATGCTTGACCTTCCTGTGCTGAGACTGCGCGCTCGACGGCCTTGTCGCTCTTATTGCCGACTAGCATAACGGGGACGGGCATTGCGGGACCGGATGAGGCGTTCATGGGCGAGTTCAAATAGCTGGGGCCGGAGGGGGAACCGGAGCTTGACGATTCCTTGACCATCTTAATCTGATTGTAGAATTTTGTGATGCGGGAGAAGGAGGCGCGCGATGTGATGCTGTACACCAATACGAAACCCTCGCCATCCCGAATCCACTGGTCTCGTAGCGCGGTATATTCTTCCTGGCCCGCTGTGTCCAGCACCTCGAGCATACACGACTGTTGATCGATCACGACTTGTTTGCGATATGAATCTTCGATGGTTGGATCGTATGTTTCGACGAAGTGATTAAGACATAACTAGAAGGTCGAGGTACGGTTTTAGTGGGATTTCTTGGCCCTAGATATCAAGAGCTTGACCAACCTGAATGGTAAGGGCGGTCTTTCCCACACCTCCGTCTCCCAACACCACCAGTTTGTACAACGTCATTTTTCCAGCCATGGCGGGCAACTGGAATTGAGAACAGGCCGAAAAGAAACAGTCAAGAAAATGAACCTAGACAAGTCAGTATCTTCATAGCAATGCAGTTTGCAGACGACATACCTATAATTATTTCAGGGGAAAGAGGGGGAAGGGTCGAAGTCGCAAGGAGGGGGGGGACAAGGTGTATTGAAGTGGCCCACGTTCCAGGCGCGGGGGGGGGGGGGGGGGGGG